TAGAAATCGGTATAGAAACACCAAAGTTATACATGAAATACGCTAATAATAAGCCATCGCGAGTCAGGGGGATGTAAGAAGACAAATAGAACAAATCCAGACTTTTTTTCTTTTTTTGTTTCTCTGTCTGTTTGTCTGTTTGTACGGGCTAATCTCCGAATCTATTGGACCGATTTAATTGAAATTTTGCACCTTATATCACCGGACAACGTCTTAGATATTTTTTATCCCGGAAAATATAATGGTTCCCGTGGGATAGTTAAAAAACTATTATAATTTATACAACTTATGCACCTAATTTAGTAAAATTTAACATTCTGATACCTTATATTGCCGGTCAAACAACCGGTTACTTTTCATCCGGGAAAAATGAACGGTTCCCGTGGGAACTAATAGATTTCTATTAGTGTTTTTCTAGAGGCGAACTCGAGCGAAGCGAGGGTGAGCCGCTAGTAAAATAATAAACCTTTCAATACGTTTTTAAGCGAGACACTTAAAAAAATGTTTGACTTTACGTTCCAAAAATATTTTGCTTACAAAATTTCATTGAACGCGTTACTTCCGAATCTGCATTTCAAGATAATTCGTGGAATACTGGATTTCGACATTTGTCAAACGCGCAATTTCCCTTTAAAACAATTACTTAGTTTGCGTAAATACTTCCCAATATGACACCGTCACGAGTTTTACACCAGAGTGCCCCCTGACCTCTATAAACTGATTCATTCAAATTAATAAGCAGAATTTATTAAATAAAAAATTTACTTGTAACGCTTTTGAAATTATTTCACGATTGTAATATAGAAATTGCTAAACTTAATATTTATGCTCGGCTTTTTTTATTATATACATGTATGTATTATAATGAGTTTAGCTTTGCGCAATTTCCGTGACGACGTAGTGGGTTAATAGTATCTATCACCTTGTTCTCTTTTGCATTCACAAAGAACTTTATAAAAAGTACGTAAGTGGCTATTATTTTAAAAAGCTCTGAATATTCAGTAACAAAAAATGTCTCCAAACTAACACGATGTCAAAAATACATTCCTGATAAATACAACTATTACTTACCAATTACTATATGTAGGCCAAGTATAATAAGGAAGTGGTAGCCCAGTGGTAACGCGATCGCTTAGGAAACCGAGTGAAGCGGGTTCAAATCCCGAGTCTCGCACCTCTGATATTTTCATATGCGAATCATTTCTAACTTGATTACCACTTGCATTACGGCGAAGGAAAACATCGTGAGGAAACCTGCATGTCTGAGAAAACCTAGTAAGTTTTCATAAGACATGTGAATTCCGCACTTGGCCAGCGTGGTGGACTATGGCCTGATCACCCTCGTATTGAAGGGAGGCCCGTGCCCAGCAGTGGGACGTTAAAAAGGGTTGAATTCACTATACACATATGTGGGTATTGACTTTTGGTAGCTGCAAATTAAAGCAATAATTTATAAAATATTTTAATTTAATTTAATTATGCAATTACGACACGGTGTAAGAGCGACTAACGCATCGGATTACTTCACGAGATTGCGTGATATGATAACTTCTTAGAACACGATACAGACGGGACATTGATCAATTAATTGATTACTGAACATCGATATTCTGAACTAAGTTAAAAGAATCGTGAACTTTGATTATATATATTCATGTATAATCTTACTATATTAATATTGTTATAAATGTAAAAGTTTGGATTTTTTTTACTCAATCACGCCAGAATGGCTGAACCGATCTGGATGAAATTTGGCATAGGGATAGATTATATAGTCTGGAATAGCACGTTGGCTTTTTATCCCGGAAAAATGTACAGTTCCCGTGGGTTTTTTTTTCTAATACTCTTTCCGCTAGTAATTTATAAATAAACTAGGTAGTTATATATGTACCTATATATTATGTAACCTTTGTATGCCATATTAATTTACATTACTTTATTTTCTTGTGGGATGTATAGGTATAGTTATCGCTGAGTTTGGTAAAGAACGCATAGATATCATTTTCGTTATTTATCAATTATGTACAATAAAATTATTATAATAATTATTTATTACTTTCGACAATGTAGAGAAGTTCCAAACATACAAGAATAGAGCCATAATCAGTTGAAATAAACTCTATAATCCAATAATACTTTAATATCAATGAAGTGTAAAACATGTAATGAGTAAAGCAGTAATTTGATCGTTCCTCGAAACCGGATGTTTTTATCTAAACCTCTGAAAACGGATACGTGGTTTTGCGACGTGTGTTTCTAATAAGATATGCAACAATTAGGTAAATAAAATGTACTGAGGTGTAACACGTAAACGAAAATTGAAACGAGTGGAATTATACTGCAAAAGATAATTATTTATTAGCTGTTGTGTTTTATATTTTTAAATCTATATACGAGTAAGTACATCACTAGTTGTAGCATAGAGTTTACTAAAAAAATTTTAATTAAAATAATATAAGCAAATAGAGTAGGTACGCCCTCCTTTTTAAATTGGTCAAAGGATCAAAGGTAAAATGTATTTGCATATAATATCTAAATATTAATGCCTAATATATGTTTCTTCTTATCACACTTTTGTGTCGAAACATAAGTATATTCTGTATTTTTACCTGTTATATCGAAGCTGCTCTAACAAAACAACATTGTCGTTTCTAACATTTGACAACAAGCAGGAACAGACATAAAAAACCTTACAATATACATATTAGAAAGTCCATATATAAATATAAACAGTATGATATGACGTCTGTATGAATCATACACGGGATTTACTGTGACAAGTCAAGCGTCACGTGGTTCATTAGTAAAGTTTATATGCCGGGATGACTATTGAGATGATGGTAATAAAATTCATTGTTAATATTCATATGTAAAATAGGGACATCATAAAAAACAAAGTGAGTACCTAAAAATACTGAAATACATATATAAATAATAAGTTATTTTTCTTTTTTTTTATAATAAAATCTATAATTATTCTAAATAATTGAATATTAAGTTTTCCCTTTATTTCATTTTTTATTTATTTTAGTTTAATTAATCCATTTAGTGTGTTAGAATATATCTACCTGAAATAAATATAGGTAGATAAAATAATATCATAAAGACACATTCATCAGATTGAGAAGCCTTATCAGTATAGATTATTATTGTTTTTCCCCTACAAAGGACACTTAAAGTATTAAATATCATTAGAAGGCATTTAGAAACAATTATTTTATATAAAAAAAAGTTATTTTAGTTGAAAGTATTCTAAAAGCGCTAATACGTACCTACTACACGCCCTATATTTTGTATAGAGGTGTGACGTCAAGTAACGCCTACTTCTGCATCCGATGACGAAAAGCGGTTTTGCCGTTTATACGTCACATAGAACGTTCGGATTGTGGTCAGTTATATTTACAAGGTAAAATAATATTCCTATGTAATATAGAATTGAAATAATGAGAAAACTATCGTTCTTTTTTATTATTATTCTAATAGTAAGAATTTCAAAAGATCAATGAATTTATAATAAATGATATTATAATTATAATGTAAACTTAGGGCTATCGATTCTGATAAGAAAGGTTTTTATTTTAACTTCTATAAGAAAATTAGCTACCATATTTTATATTATGTAGTAAGAAATAACAGAAAATCTCATGACTTGTGATATTTCAATGAAAATGCGAATTGAATTAAAATCAATTTTTCATACATAAATTAATCTAGATGAGCTTTTATTTTTCATTTACTATATAAAATAAGATAATATAAGCAGATACGTAGAATAAGAAGGTATGAAACGATAGCACCGGTCTACAACTGTACAATGCGCATAGAAGTTCGGTATTGATTTTCCGCTAGCCAACCAGCGACCGACGAAAACACCTCGCTAACACGATCAAGTCAAACATCGTTGGGTATTCGGACTTTTGTTATAGGTACTATTGAGATAACTTTTATATACAGATACACAAAATTCGCGACTTCTTAACATTTATATTATAGGTTTTTTTATATTCTTCTTTAAACCCAATTTGGGCTCTTTGAAGGAATACGATATGTTATTTAATTATTTTAAAGTACCTACTTATTTAAAAAAAAATCTTAAATATATGTTCTTCGTGAGATTTCAAAAAACTAGGGGTTTATTAAAGAAAGTAAATTATAAGACGTTGATTAATTAATAAATTAAAAATCACTGATACACAATAATTGTGTACGCGCATTAGTTAAACGCATATTCATTCACTAATTATAATAAAATGCGAGTCTGTCAAAATAAAATGAGACATACATTTAGCATTTGTTTATAATATATAGGTACGTATCTTAAATTCAGCAAAAATAAAAGCGTCAAGATGGCGGCGGTTTCTTATCTTTAATTATAAAACATGTTAAAAAACTAGCTTAACTTACTGGCAACTACTGAGATAAAGCGTCATAAATAAAATAAAACATTAAAAAAAACGAAAGGCAAGTCAACGTTTTTTTTTATTATAACTAATTTATAAATAGTTGATGATCATATCTTCAAATATAGTTTCATTTTTTCACTGCTCATCTGACAATAATTGCTTAAATATTTAGGTAAACTCATTGTTCGAGAGGCCATTCCAAAGGGATTGTTATCGGCGTCCTTTTTGAGTTTTGAGACGTGCTTGACGTTTGCTATGTTTAAGACAATAGACACTGATTCATTCGACGTTGTGGTTAAGGCAGTCGGCACGCTATAATCATCTTTAATGACACAAAACTTCGAAATATTGCCGACATTGATTTTTGCGTAATTGATTAATGTTGAAAACGCTTACAACACATTTTCATTTCTGTAATCTATTAGTCGATTGTTAAAACTGATTCACAATAAAACATCTCATTATATAATTGTAATAAAACTACATTCGTACAAGTGAATCTGACTCACCTATTGTCAAGTTTTCTTGGAATAGTAAAATGAAAGCAGTTATTCAAACATGACCTACGCATCGTAACGCATTCCTTTATTGTTGCAGATATTAAAACAGAAGTCATCAGTGAAGCCAAAATTGAAACTGACAACCAAGAAGAAATGAAAATCGAGCCGCACGAGACTCGCGCCACGCGAACTACTAGCATAGATAGTGATAACCGTTCTGACAAAAGTGAGGAGGAAGATTGTAGAAGGGCTCGCAAAAGGGCAGCTTCGTCATCACCATCACCTATACCTTTGGATAAAAGAACAGCACGTTTTGAATGCCCAAAGTGTTTTCAAAGATTCGATTCGATCAATGCATTCGATCTTCACCGATTTACAGCGCACGGTGATGATAATAGAACTGGATACGATGACTACGTAGATTATTCCGTTAAAAAAATCCCAGAAATGTTGCGTAATCGCCATGTATCGGCATCAGAGCGATGTGAACATTGTTCCCGAGAATTCCCTTCAGGACATATTTTGGATATTCATAGAAAAACATGCACAGCATCCACAAGAATATCTAGCCCTGATCGCGATAGACGAGAAGATTTTTTCGCTAAGCTTGATCTTAGAAATAGATCGTTTGGCATACCAGGCACATTGACTCCACCGATGGATCGATTTACACCAAAGTTTGATGATGGACTTACTAATGGGATAAGGCATATTGATGCCGCAAGGGATTTAGCTGATATTCAGTCGATTCTTAATGTTACTTCAGCTGGAAGCCTTTTGGAAAGATTAACTGGAACAAGGGTGGCTTTGGAAAATGCTGTTCTAACACCACCCGATACTATTGTGAAAGAACGGGAACAAGAAGAAACCCAAGACAACTTTGCTGCAGAATTCAGGCGAATGAAGCTTCGCGGTGAGTTCCCATGTAGATTGTGTCCCGCTAAGTTTCCCAACCTTAGAGCGTTGAAAGGACACAATAGAGTTCATCTTAGTGGAACAGGACCAGGTCCTTATCAATGCAACATGTGTCCTCATGCATCATTAGATAAAGCAGCCCTTGTACGTCATATGCGTACACATAATGGCGATAGGCCGTATGAATGTGCTGTTTGTAACTACGCCTTCACCACTAAAGCAAACTGCGAGCGTCATTTACGTAACCGACACGCTAAAGTTACAAGAGAAGATGTGAAACGCTCAATTATTTATCACCCCTCAGAGGATCCAAACAATGATGAAGTTAATTCTAAAATTGCTCGCGAAGAAGTCAAAAGGTCCCTTGCATTTCATACCCCTGAAGTGGAGAGACGCGCTGAGCCTACAGGACGCAGTACACCACTTACTCATTACAATCAAAGTTTCATTGCCGATAGACATCCTGTTACCTCTCTTACGAAGGCTTTACCCGACACTTCCACTCTAACACCGAGAGAGGTTGAACAACCTATGCCTAGAATAAAAGTTAAAGGTATCGGACAACTTACACAAATACCCGAGTTCAGAACACCAGAAATTTCCTTTAAATCTAATGATATACAATCAGACCCGTATATCGAAGATGTTCCAGTAGACCTTAGCACAAGTGATAACAATAGTTGTGATGTTCTCGATCTAAGTAAGAAAAAACGTGACACGGATGACGATGAGCCAAAAATTTCATCGCGCACGTCATTTGATAACTCTCCCTCTGCCGCTGCTACGGCTGCTTTTGAAAAGACAAGACTTCTGCTAGCTCAGCAAAGGCTTTTTGAAAACTCTCTACCTAAAATAGATCCCGCATACTACGCAACTCAATTATCCCAAATCTATGCTGGTGCAGTACCTGGCCTACCTGGTCTGCCTCTTCCCCCATCTTTCCCTATCAATCCCTACTTTCTTCAAACATCTTTTTTTCCTCACCCAACTGATTCACAAGAAATCGCCGAAATAAAACAACGTATTCAGAAAGAGATAATTCGTGGTCTTAGTATGTCTGGGGGGAGGCTAGTAACAAACGAACCTGAAATTCAGCCTAAACAAGAACCAGAGGAAGAAGAACAAAAGCCTATACCAATTTCCACTACACCTACACCGCCTCCCCACTCTGAATCTCCACGTCCGACAACAAACAATCTTATTTCACAAAACGATTCTGTAAAGATGGTAATTAAAAATGGTATTTTAATGCCAAAACAAAAACAAAGACGTTATCGCACTGAACGACCCTTTTCTTGCTCTCAATGTTCGGCTCGGTTCACACTACGTTCTAACATGGAACGTCACGTTAAGCAACAGCATCCTCAACATTGGAGTGTCAGACGTCCAGCGCCTAGAGCGCCCCCGCCATACCCTACACCAGACACTTTAGCCGATCGAGTTAAATATGCACTATTGGCTCGTCACTTAGAAAGACCATTGCAAGCTGACCGATCTCCAATTAGAAGAGACTCAGATGAAGTTGCTGACAATGAAGAAGATGAAGATGATACTTTGGTCATAGATGAGGAACCAGAAGATCGGAAAACAGACGAACATACTGCTGCACACCGAGCCGCAGCGGAAATTCTGATGGCCACTCGACAGCAAGAACTTACTAAGGACTTTGATCTTAAAATAGCAGGCAGCCTCATTAATAAGCCTGTCCCTATTACTACAGAGAAAACAGAAACAGGCACTGATCCTATTCCAAGCCAAGATAGCGTCTTGCCTGTGGTGCCATCTCGTAGTGACGAAGAAGAAGACGAAGAAGGTCTAGTAGCATCTACTAGCGAAGGAAATAACTCTGGAAGCGATGAAAATAAGTAAGTTATACCTAATTATTCTTAACCATATTTTAGTGTTAATATCATCATTTATTGCATTGAATAAAGAAGTAAAATCAATCAATGTATTCTAATCACTATTAAATGTTTTCTTTATTTTTCAGATCCGAATCAGACACCGGAACACAACCACCGAAAAAGAAATCTGCTTACAGTCTAGCACCAAACCGCGTATCCTGTCCCTATTGCCACCGTAAATTCCCTTGGTCCTCTTCTCTTCGACGTCACGTTCTGACCCACACTGGGCAAAAACCCTTTAAGTGCCCTCACTGTCCTCTCCTATTTACTACAAAATCGAATTGCGATCGTCACTTACTAAGAAAACATGGTGGATCTGCTAAAGCGATTCTCGCTGAACCTATTCAAGATGCTATAACTCCACAGACTAATGACAGTAGAAGTGTACCAGAAAGGCCGTTTAAGTGTGCTTCTTGCCCAACCAGTACATTTTCGTCGTTGGAGACGTTAAAAAAGCATATGGCCTCTCGACATGGTAGTGGGGATTCCCAACCGAGCTCTCCAAACCCTGAGGAAGATGGGGATGGGAATTTAGTATTCAAGTGCCACCTTTGTGAAGCGTCATTTGGGGAGAGAAATGGGGCGCTGGGACATTTGGCGTCCGCTCACTCCTCAGAATATGAACAGCTAGTGAGCAAAGGTGCCTTGGACGCGGCGAGCGACCGCAGCGAAAGTGCTGATGATGACGAACGAGGAAAATTTCCAGACCATGCTAATAGAAAGGTAATTTATGTATTGCAATTAATTTATTTATGCATTGAATGTGATTGAAGTATTTACAAATATAATAGTATTAATTATTAGAAATAAATAGTAATACATGAATAGTAATATCAGATTATCAATTTGGTGGATTAAATCAAAACAAATGCACTTGAATGGACGAGCTTATACTTAATAGGAATTTCTTTCATAAATATTAAATATATGTACATATACAATATAATAGAAAATAACTAATATAATTTTGTTTTTCAGGTTGTATGTGCGTTTTGCATTCGTCGCTTCTGGTCTGCAGAAGACCTCCGTCGTCACATGAGGACTCACTCTGGGGAAAGGCCTTTCGCCTGCGATCTGTGCAGACGAAGGTTTACACTCAAGCATAGCATGCTGCGGCACAGAAAGAAGCATCGAGAAGATACGGATGATGAGGAATCATCACCCAGAGATGATGGAACTAATGGGTGAGTCTTTTTAAAATATTTATACTAGCTGTCTAAGTGATCTGTTGTATAGAATTGTTTGAATATGATGAACGGTAAATTTAGATTTTGTAAGTTGTATTTTTTTTATTTACGAATAGCTTATTATTATTTACTACTTAGTTTAATTAAACTTATAAAGGAATATTTTGCATATATTTTTAATTGAGCCAAAATTTACAATCATTTAATTTCTCTTATAAAGATATCGCTACCAAGAAGACGACGGTTCCGGGAACGAGATCCCCAGCAACGTGAACAACAACAACTCACCGCCCTCCGCACCCTACGACAAGAAGCTCAAACTGGAAATGACGTCTCGCAAATATTCCACCGAAACGGAAAACGATACTGAAAACGGAACCGACCTAATCGGAAAACTTCTAGGTATTCCAGACAAAACTATCATAAACAAACTTCTATCTTCCCCCGATGAAGCCGCAAAATTCCTGGGAGTCAATAAATGAGAGTACGCTTTAGTCCTCGTGACCCCAGCTAGACTCATTCTGGCTCCGCGAGGACTAAAAATACCTGTTATAAAAACACAAATCGATACAACGCCATCAACCAACGAATAGATGTACTATATGCTAAATTATGTTAATGCTTTAACGCCATCTATCGGCGGATAGACACTATTTAATGCTGCGGCATGTTTTCGCATAAAAGTTAGGCTCTTTATTTGTATATAACGTAGGTGCCTTTAGATGTCTTATAATGGAGTGAACCGTCCTATTCTGCCTTATTGTATATTATAATAATATGTGGGTACGAGCAACGAAGTTTTCTTTAGTGCCAGTTTTTAAGTACATTGGTTTTTTTATATTAGATGTATCTACCACGTTTGCATTTTCATCTAGTCGTCTCCACGTTTTACACCAACCTCCCGTTTCGAGTTCATAGTTGTGAATCAGCCAAATAATTTTTGCAAATCCAAAATTTTCTAGTCAATTTTATCTTAAATCTTTGAACTATGTGTAACCAAATGTCTGTTGTCACGATTACATTAAGTATGTAGTATAGAATAGATTTAAACGAACCCCCTTATAATATCCTACCAATGAATAGATGTATTTGTGCTACAGTTAAATTTGTATTTAAGGTATTTTATGAAATAACTATCTTTTTTCCTATCTCTTATCTTATCTTTATCTTGTCGCTAATACGATTTTTAATTATAAATATTTCTATAATTGTATATAATGATATGATATAAATTTTCTTAAGTAAACTCTTAGAATTCTGTAGGACATATTTTGTTTGCTCAAAACCATGGCATTTCTTTGACAAAGACTTAAGTTTGCTTTTAAGAATCTAGGATCTCTTATAGTAGCTAATATAACCAAAGGATTTTTGGTGGACTTTTGTTTACCCGAACGATGTAATTTTTGATATATTTTTTTTTTAAATTAAATTTGTTTTAATTATTCAGATTTATAAAGTTTTTATTTGGATTTTATGTAATTTTTGGTGCATTATATAGTGGGTTATAAACTCAATAAACTAAGTTAGGTAAGGAATTGTCTCCGTAAAGGATCGACGAAATCATACGCTAGAATATACCTAAGTTCGAATTTTGCTTTGTATAATAGAAGACGCTATACTATATACCAAATACAAAATATATGAATGTATATTTAATTATAATTTAATTTTTTATTATGAAAATAATAAGCAATATTATAATTTATTTAGCGTTGAATAAATATATGAATCACTTATTGAATTTGAAGTTTAATATATTGAATTGCACTGTATTTAGTGATTAGTGTTGCTATTTAAATTAATTACTAGGTATATGTTTTGGAATCCTGCTTGAGGTCAATTATAGTTAAACGGGATGGAAATGTTCTAGAAAATGTAATTATATTTATTTCCTTTTCCGTGTTTAGACATAGTTTGCTGGTTTAGAGAAAATGAGTACTAAGCTTACGTTTAAAATAAGGTTTTTTTAGATATTAATTATCTCGTACTTATTAAGTCGTAAGATTATTAATAATAAGACGTATTCCATAAGATGTGGCAACACCGCTTGGCCTTTCAAAACGTAGTTTGTGTGTTTAATATATTATTATTATTGTTATTTAAGAAATTTAATGTTAAATAAAAAATTATCTACATAATATGCATGAATTTATGGTAATTATTACGATAGGCGTATTTACTATTCACTTTTGCCTCTCTTTCTTTATTTGCAATACGAGTGTCGTTTTAAAAACGTTTTTTTTGTGAAATACATTATGGTGGATTAATAAAGAAGTACTGCTTTTAATATTTGTCGTTTCAATTTTTCCATTTTTTTCTTTTTTTATTTAATAAAATTATTTTTTAACATATTATTATAATAGATATACCTACCTATGCATATACACTTTTTCATTTGAAATAAATGTTACGGACAAAAATTTTCGTCCTTGAGTAACGCAAGAAATAAATAGAAATAGTTAAAAATATACTGAATACTAATTTTATATTACGTTTTTTTTTTATAATCAATATTTTTTTATATTTAACGTCACAGAACCTGATAAATTGTTTAGAATATATAATACCACACCATGGGCTTTTTAATGTCATCCATTTAGTAACTGAATATATTAAGTAATAACTTCAATTGTCTTGTTGGCGAAGCACTTCACTTCAGTGTAATATTTTACTATGCTTCAATGTAATAGCTTAGTGTCCTAATATTATATAATATAATTCTATTTTGTTTATTACGAATCTTACGATCATTCTACATTACGAAGTAGCGAAAGGAATTATTTATAAAGTCGTTACGACTTGCTTTTAGTCCTATGCAAAGATTAAAAATGAAAAATAATTAGTATCCCTATTGACTTAGTGAGCCGATTGAAAACTAGATGGCGCTCGTAGTACTTTAAAACGCGCTATGGTTTGGTTCTAGCCACAATCAGTCTGTATAATCTATACTAATATTATAGAGGTAAAGTTTGTGAGTTTATGACGTTGTTAGGGTAATCTCTAGATCTACTGAACTGATTTAGATGGAATTTGGTAAGAAGATAGTTTGAGACCGTGGAAAGGACATAGGATACTTTTTTGCCGGAAATCATCCCTTATGGGAATGAACATAATCCTATAGTAGTAGTATTTGCGCTAGTTACTATGTATATTAGTTAATAGTTATACTGTTACACCCTAACTGCGAGATGTATATATGTAATCTCCGACTACAAATGAAGTGAAATAACCTTTATTCAATTAAACTTATTATAAGAACTTAATTAACTTAATTTAAAGAGCGACAGTGTAGCCAGTCCGTGAGGAAGCTACCACCGGCTCAAAAAATAGTTCTGCTGAGAAGAGCCGGCGCAAAACTCAACAATTGCTCTTTTAAATATCGAAGTTACATTTTATTTATTTTATAAACCAAATTCTACATTCTTTCGTCAACTTATTTTCATCTTATTACTTCGCTTTTTAAACGAAGTCGAGTTTTTTATCTTTAGAATTTAATCTTTTATTTACAGCTTTTTAGGTTTGGCCATTTACCTAAATTATTTTTAAGCATATAAGTATAACATAGTTTTGTGCCTCATAAAAGTTTATTAAGATACCCCACTCAATTGGTTTGAAAAAATATATTTCAATATGCACAATATGTTGCCTAAGATGTAATATTTTGATTATATATGATATATATATATACCCCTATGACACTCACATTATCAAGACATATGTAACGACGCTTGAATCATCAAAATCGGTTAAGCCTTTTTGAAAACACTCGAAAATAGCACTAATGAATCTAATGGATGCTAGATGGCGTTAAGAGTACTTTAAAACGCGCTATGGTTTGGTTCTATTATGATCATTCGACAATAACTGTAGTCTACTGGACACTAGATGGCACTAGGAGTACTTTAAAACATAATGGTTTGGTTCTATATCAATCTCAGCTATACATCTAGTAAGTCTAGTAGTCACTAGATGGCACTATGAGTACTTTAAAACGCGCTATGGGTTGGTTTTATATCAATCTCAGCAATGTATCTAGTAAGTCTACTAGACACTAGATGGCATTGTGTGTACATTAAAACGCGCTTTGTTGGTTCTAATATAATAGAATCGGCTATAGCTCTAGTAACGCTAATTGTCACAAGATGGCACTAACAGTAAATTGAAACGCGCTATGGTTTGGTTCTAGCCACACCCAAATCACAGAATACTTTTTCTCTGTCAGGAAAAACCCCGTATCCGGGTACCCGCTCGCCGATGGGGATGCGAGACGGGTTATGTGGGGTTCCTGCCGCGCAAACATGGAAGCGCGCGGCAGCCTACCCACTAAAAAACCTGATAAAGACACCTCCTTCGCCTTAAGGCCGGAGCCACTGGTACCAGAAAGACTCTTCCGCGACCGAATCACATAAAACTATACTAGCCTCATCCCATACAAAAAATGGATAGCGTTAATTTGGACTATACTTCCTGCTACATTTCTTTGGTAATTCTCGTTGATTCGCATTTCGAAAATATCTACTTAAAGTGTTTAACATTATAAATACATATGTGTAATCTAACGTATGTTTAATATTGCAAAATTCATCTGCATTCGTATAAAAAAAACAGTGATTTTCATTTTTAACCATTTTTTCATTTCAATAATCAGTAAAATTAAGCAAATTTGATTTACGAACTCATTAGTTGTATTTGTGTTTGTCCTTTCCCTTCACTTAGAATATTTTCAAAGCACCTTTTGGGATCTATTATTTAATATTTATATACTATAATAACAAATCTACACTAATATCTATTACAGTAATAAACTATTCGATACACTAATATCACATTTATTTAAACTATTTTTTCTTTTTTCGTGATGAGACCCCCATGGCCCCATAATCAGAATAATGGCACTAGTGAGTTTCATTTAAACTAGCTGGCACTAGTAGTATTTTAAAACGCGCTATGGTTTGGTTCTCGCCCAACTCACCCGAGCACAACACTAGCTCATCTAATTGAAACTAGATAGCACCAGTAGTATTTTAAAACGCGCTATAGCTCGGCTCTAACCCTACTATTCGTGCACAACATTGGCTCATTTATTTGGAACTAGATGGCACTAGGAGTATTTTAAAACGCGCTATGGTTTGGTTCTAGCCCCAGTCAATCGAGCATAGCACTGGTTCATCTAATTGAAACTAGATGGCAATAGTCGTATTTTAAAAACGCGCTTTGGTTTGGTTATAGCCGCAGTGACTTGACAGCACTATTACGAATTTAATCGAAACAATGGTGATAAATGTAAATTGTTTAATATTTGCTTAGAACTAACCATTGAAGCAGAAGTAAGCGCTGAATTTCGTTCCGTACCGTTCGGTTACGGCTAAAATTCCTTTATTTCTCAGGAGCTATGGTTGAAATACATATCGTTGGCTCACAATTACAAGGTTCTATGTTACAATTTTAGTACTTATTTATATATTAATGCTACAAGGTGTTATGTGTCATTAGTTACAGTTTTGCAAAAACAAACCACTAGATAGCGGCACTTTAACTACAAAATATTCAATTTTACATAGTTCTATGTTGTTTTTTCTTACGATAACATAATAACTAAGTTCTATGTAAAAATTACTAAACTTTATTAAAATTATCATAGAACCTTGTAATAGTGAGCCAACGATATGTCGAAGGCTAATGTCGAATTTTACAGTATAAACTTTGACATTAATTACCTATATAATTTCTCAAATACAATGAAAAGGGGAAAACAAATTAATTTTGCTTCTGAAGTTTATTTATTTTGCTAAAATAAATATTATAATTTTAAAATGAAATAAAAAATTATATTACTTTACTAAGTTAAGAGCCATATATTATAAGTTATAACATAATATTAAGCTATTTAAAGGTAAAGCTTAAATGGAGTAAAAAGAAAGTCAAATTTAACGTAAATTTTAATTTTTGTCTTCCAAACTGATGTATTTTTGTTTACTTTTCGAGTAAAACTTTCTAAAAAAGTACATTAATGCACGTTTTTGTCTTAATTAAATTTATTAATATTATCTATTACTTCGCTACATATAATAACACTGTGACTAAGCCAAATCTGTACATTAAATATTTTTTGAAAAATCTTATTGAAATAAATATTATTATCGATACAGAGGCAGAATCTATAGTTTTTTGATTTTTTGTCTGTCTGTCTATCTGTTACCGCATCACAGAAAACCACTGGAGGGATTTTGGTGAAATTTGTTATGGTGATAGCTGGTTATGCGGGTCAACATATAGGATACTTTTTACCGCGGTAAAATATCTCATTTCTGAAAAAAATATATAGAAAAACTGCAATGTAAGAGTATACTAATAGGTAAAACCTAAGAATTTGGTTTTTGGTCATCTGAACGCGGGCGGAGCCGCGGGCAATGCCAGTATATAATAAATATTTCTATTAATATTTCACAAATAGTTTAGCTTCGTTGAGCGGATTGGATGAAATACTGAACGGAGAAATTTATATCCCGGATTAAGACAGTCTAATTTATATTGATGAACTACGTGTTTAGAGTCGCGAACAAAAACTTTTACTCCCATATTATTATTTTGCCTATTTTACCGGGATTAAAATAATATACTAGACTATATTGAAATCAATTACATCGGATTTAGTTCAGTCATTTCTTCGTGAAGTTCATACCAAAAATATTTCTTCCGTTTTCGTATTTAATATAAATTATTAAGTAACATAGAATAAAGTATTATAAAATTTTAAATTACAACCATAATTCATAATTACCCAACTCAGGATTACGTGTTTGACTTGTATCACGAATGTATGTATGTCCGATCGTATGTTCTCTCGTTATTACCAAACTTAAGCTTAAACAATTTTGATGAATTATATGAGATCATCGCGAGTTTTCTTGATACTGCGAGTGTCGTGAGTTTTCTTGATATTGCGAGTGTCGTGTGTTATAAGAAAATTATGAAAAATATAAATGGCCAATTTGTGTTTTGAAATATTTTTTTAGGTCGGGTATCGAAATAAAGGATTAATAAGAGGCAATCATAAAAATGGACACAATTTATGTTTAAAAAAACTAGTATAACAAATGTATTAAATAAAAATATCTTCTAAGATGCTTTAAAAAATCAAGTCTTCTTCTTCTTCCTGCCCATTTCGCAAGTCACTTGGGGTCGGCGCAGTAAGTCTTCCTCTTCCATTCTCCCCTATTACTCGTCATCTCATCATTCACCCCTTTCTCTTTCATGTCTTGTCTCACACAATCTATCCATCTTTTCTTCGGTCTTCCTCTACCTTTCCATCCATCTACATTCATTTCCATCACTCTTCTCGTCACATGCGTTTCATCCCTCCGCTTCACATGCCCATACCAACTAAGACGATTCCCTTTCAACTTCTCTGTCACTGGTGCTACTTTTAAGCTTCCTCTTATGTACTCATTCCTTATTTTATCCATCCTCGTCACTCCACACATCCACCTTAACATTCTCATCTCAGCAGCATGCAATCTTCTTTCATCAGTCTTCTTTGTAGCCCAGCATTGCGATCCATACATAACGACAGGTCTTATTACGGATTTATAGATCTTACCCTTCAACTTAAGGGGCATCCGCTTATCGCAAGTTATCGCTGTGACCTGTCGCCATTTCATCCACCCAGAGTTGATCCGACGCGTAATGTCTTTGTCAATATTACCATCACCTTGTACAAGAGATCCAAGATACCGAAAGTCAGTGCATATTGGTAAGGGTGTTCCCGAAAGGGTTATGGGCACTAGACTGGAGAGACCACCAAAGTCGCAGAAAAGCTTTAAAAAATCAAGTATGAAAATAAAAAAAAATCAAATGCGTAAATAGATGGAAATACGTTGGCAAAGGAACACAAAATTATGCAATCGGATTTCGGTGACATACATATAATATGTTTTATACAAAGAGAATGTAACCACTATGTTTTTATACTCGCTGTGAGTCTTGCTATATGATGTCTCCGACTGCTATGTTTCACTAGCTTGTTTCCATCTTTTTAATTCGCTTTTTAACTTTTAAAAAGCCTGTTTTTTGATTGAGATAATTATTTGTTTTATTTTAATAGAATATTTAAGAAAGTTCTTGCAACATTCACAATTTAGTTAGTAGGATTAGTTGTCTTGTCAGTGTAATGTTCTATTTGTTGTCAATAAATGTCACGGCTAAATAGTAAAATAATGTTATAATAATATACTAATTTTACGAAGTTATTTAAAATTACTTTTGCCATTTATGATTTTTTTATTTTCATATTTTAAAAATATTGTTTTTGTATAATTTTTATGTCCTTGTATACGTTATCTTGAACGCGTTACGCGACAAATTCATTTGCTTTTACTGAATGAGTACTTTATGTTTAGGGATACCATACTCTTAAAAGATCATTATTTTGGATAATATTAAGTTTTATATAATTTATAATCTTCACCTTAAATTTCTCACATATTCATTAGTAATTATTGATTGTTTTGGCCTATAATTTTTTAATTTGTTATTTCAGCAGCTATTTAAATTATTTATTATGACATAAATATAATTTAAAGTAAGAATAATATCTTAAACAAAAATTTGATAAATGTGTAAAAAATTATAGTTTTTAAGTATAATTATATTATCACAGACGAAAATCTTTACAGATAATTCACTTACTAGAATACAAAACATTGTGGTAGTGTAATGTAATGAATAAAGAGAAAAAAATAAAGTTTTAATAAAGGTAAGGTATGTAGAAATTACAATAAAATATGTTAAAAAGTAAAAGAAAAATTTATCCATCCTAACATTTTTATTAAGTTAATAAATATAATTTTACGTTTCATAATTTTGTAATAGTAGACGTTTTGTAAATATTTTATTATCATTTACACTAATGTCATAAATATTTTAGTCAATATGAAGAACAATAAAAATACTTTTTCTTGTTATTACTTTTGACGATTTTAAATAAAATATTTTTCTTAATATAATAATTAAACAATTGGTGAAAATTAATTAGATGATGGCAACATCAAATAGGTGAATGAAGGAATTTGAAGAAATAGAAAGAAGTCGCTAATTTATGCGAGACGGCGTCTTAATTTTCAGATGCAATTGCTTAACTTTAAAGTGAGAACTATAAAATATTGCTCGTTGGCCTTGAAATAATAACGAAGTGTATTTCGGTATGAATTAATTGTTTATATATTTTAAATCGTGATCAAGTGTCTAGCTAAGCTTGTTTTCTATGCAATGCATTCCACATAGTGACGTAGGAAGAAAACTATAATGCACTATTTCTACTTACATTATTTACGTTTTTATTTACTGGATAACGGTTTATGTGATTATAACAGTGTTACGTTTAAACTTTATTTTAGAAGTTACGTTACCTTAAATTGTTTTTATTTACTTGTGTAAACGATTACAGGATACAAAAAACATTCAATATGGGGGACCAACAATTTTTTCTAAAATGGAACGACTTCCAAACGAATATGGTGACCTCTTTTAGACATTTACGGGATGAAAAAAGTTTTACGGACGTAAGTATTTAGTGCAATTTTAATTTATATATTTGTAAACAATATTTTGTTATAACCTCATTTTCTAATTCATAGATCAATTTAATTAACGTTCATGTAAAGTAGATAGCTGAATGGTGAGTGGTTGCAGTTTATTAGACTTATGTCATAAATAATAATGCTTTGTATAGATAAATGCGTAAATAAATATTTTATGAAACAATTTTATAAAATGTAAACAACATAGTAGTTTTTTACTAATTACATATTTCTGCCCTTCAAAATTTTGTTGCGAGTCTTGATCTAGTATATAGGTAAAATATAAGTTGTTTTATTCTCCCACCATTGTTAGGGTTACAAAATCTTAGCAAACTGCTAAACTAACACAAGCAATTAAGTTGATAGGTCTAAATTATTTATCAACATCCAGACCAAACCACTGGTATATAAATCCTAAAATGATATCCCATTCTAAAATGGTCTAAAATAATATGACACAGTTCACAGTTCATTCATGTTTCTTGAAATTAAACCCCTGAAGATGTAAAAAAGAATGATGAAAGTTTTATGGAAAATATTTTTCGGATCAAATTCACTGAAGGAATCAGTATAGTCAGAATAGGCTAATATTCATAAAATAATTAATATAAGCATGTAATTGACAACATATTTGGCTCAGCTTGTAGTTACCCTACTTGCTGTGCCAGCGGTCGCGAGTTCAAGTCCCGCTGGGGATGATGTTTGTGTGATGAGCACAAATGTTTGTACTCTAGTCATGGGTGTTTATATTTATAATATGTATGTATTAAAAAATTATATATGTGTGGTGAATCAACTATCTGGTATCCATAACACAGGCCTCGTAACTTACCATGGAACTGGTGCTGTGTTTTAATATCCCAACATATTTATATGTGTTGAAAAAATTGATATGATTTATGTATCAGTGGAAACTATTGGTCTATGTACCATTTATATATCCTAATATATAAAGATTTGTAAACACTGTTTGTTTCCCTAATAAAAATAAAATAAAAAGATAATCAATAGAATAATAGTATAAAAGTGTCATGTTTTGATTGATAACACCTTGGTACTTCATTATTAAGTATGTAGATAATAAAAAAACCTAATAGTAGTTTTTCTCAAATATCTTCCATGTACAGACAGCAATCAGTTACATTTTTATTATATGTAGTATATAGATGACTATCATGTGTGTGATAGTTCAATTTTAACTAATTATGTTATGTCTTACAGCCATGAATAAAGCCATACGTAATGAATTGAGTTTGTATTGGAAAGTGACATATTTGCTTTTTTAGCATAGAGATATTTTCAAATTTATAAGCTCTAAAGTCTAAACATGGTTTATAGTTTAAATAATCAAAATTATATAATTATTCATTTGGATCCCATAATATACTATATCATATATTTCAGGTTACACTGGCATGTGAAGGACAAACCTGTAAAGCGCACAAAATGGTTCTCTCAGCTTGTAGTCCTTATTTTAAAAGTTTATTAGAGGTATGTAATGGTTTTATTTTATTACGTAATTTAATGTGAACTTAATATTTTTTTACTTTTTTAAGCTATTACAAAATTTATTTATAATGTATATTACACAAAGCATTAGAAAAATATTTAATTATAATTTTATTACTTTTACAGGAGAACCCATCAAAACATCCAATAATAATACTAAAAGATGTTTCATATCTTCATTTGCAAGCAATACTAGAGTTCATGTACGCTGGTGAAGTAAATGTGTCCCAAGAACAATTGCCAGCGTTTCTTAAAACTGCAGCACGACTTAAGGTTAGATATACATTATTATAATAATATAAATGTTCAGGTTTTTTTTCAGAGGGCAAAATAGGACACTTCAAAAGAAATGAAAGGAATTTTTTTTTTTTTATTATCTGTGTAATATATATTTTCTTATAAAGTTGACTTGAGATTTCCAATAATGCCCCTCTCAGTTTAAATGAGATTTGATTATATTTTACTGGAGCTTGATGTAGCTATTAGACATTTTCTATTGTTTTACTAACTTCATAAAAGGAGGATATTCTCATTAGATAGATATCTAATGTTTTTTATTTTCTTGTACGTTGTAAGACGTTAGTCTTGGCATGGGCTTGATTAGCCCATAACGGGTTAATTGTAGAAGTTTATTGATAGGAAAGACCTGTTTGTCCAGCGAGGAAGCCATCTAAAGGATCTCCTGCTCTGTACTCCACTTCTTCCTTAACTGTTTTCATTTCGGTGTACTTATTTAATTCACAATTCAGTGGTTTTGATAAATATAAAATAAAATAAAATTTAATAAATAATATATATAAAATCAGTTTTATTTCTGTGTCTGTCTGTATACCAATAGTATGATATTAGATTTTTAATTAAAATTAAATCCCAAGATTAATTTCATTTATACCTAAAGATTCTAATAATAATATAAATATTATTTAACCAACAGGTGAAAGGTCTGGCCGAGCCGCCGCCACAGATGCCGAGCATCAAGCGGGAAGGCTAACAGTGATAGACTCTAGTGAACTGTGGTCTGTGACACCAATGTAACATAATACACATATTTTTATATGCCAATTTATCACTCAATTCATTAACTAAACTGGCAACACTATTTAGTATGTGATTGACAACACTTAATGTATCATTTTTGTTATCTGTAAATCACACGGGTGAATTTTTCGACACTGGCAATATTTTATAATACTGTCATATTTGATATAATATTTGGATGAGTATAATTAAATTTAGTGAAGCACTTTGAAGCCATTATCAAGAGAATTGAATTGTATTAGGTAAAGCATTTGTCAATATAGAAATATTAAATTTTTGTAATAGTTGTTTAAGTTGAAGTTGCCTTTTAATGATAGTTATTGTGTTTAAATAAAAATTATGGCTGAGCTGAAAATTAAATGGAAAATGAGTTTGACAAATTGTTTTGGGTTGCCTTATTAAAAAAAGTTAAAAAAAATTAAAATAGATTCATAATAGAGAATCTCTAAAAGCTGAATGGCACCGTTCCTTAGCCTCCAATATAGAATAAACACTAGTGTTCATAGTAAAACCGTGAATGCAATAAAACAATGTATATGAATGGGTATATCACGATACTATATCTTATGAAAGTGCTTGATGAATCGTTATAATAATAAACAAATATTTTAATATGTGTACTATAATTAGGCATAACTAGGAAAAAATCGATTTTACAAATTTGGTTTTTAAACATCGATTCTTACAATGGTTTTTATTAAAATTATAATCCCATATTAGATAACGATTTGTCAATGCAATATTATAATTAGATATAGTGACAACATTGATGTGGCAGCACGGACACACTTTAGCTCCACTAGTTACCTAACAACCAAAGTTTTAGCTTTTATTCCACTACTAAAGTCTGCTTTGCGATCACATCAATACCTGATATGTATTTAAATGTTATTGATAACTAACTTAAATTAAATATTATTACAAATAGTCTCATGATATTTTAAAAATATATTAAAAAGTATATTTTAAATTTTTAAATGCAATTATATTTATTGTATTGAATTGTTTTGTAATTTTTATTAATTCAATTTTAAATGTATTTTGAATATGAATTAAGTTTTTTCAAACTTTTGCGTGTTAGTTATTGATGACATTTTAATATCTCTTATAGATCTATTCGACCAACAGATGCCTTATAATACTTTCCAATACAAATGTCGATTCTATCAAAATGCCATCACTCATTTTAACTATTACATTTATTTTATAATAAACATTATCAATTAAATTTATTTTATAGTATAAATACTTTTGTTAAAATTTTCATCTATGAACTGACATGAGATTTTAGTTTGACGTGGCCAGAACAGTGTATATAACATATTGTATAATGAATTATGATTAAATAAATATTTTTCTGTTTATTTATTAACTAGAGGTTTACCCTCGCTTCGAAAAACAAATCTATCCCACGGGAACTGTAAATTTTTTCGGGATAAAAAATAGCTATGTGCTATTCCAGACTATAATCTATCTCTGTGCCAAATTTCATCCAGATCCGTTAAGCCGTTCTGGCGTGATTGAGTAACAAAAATCTATCCAAACATCTAAACTTTCACATTTTTTTATAATATTAGTGAGATATTCATGAGGCTTTGATAAAAAGTAGTGAAACAATGTAAGGGCTTAATTTTACCTTTTTTAAGAATCGACATTTTTATTAATAGTATTGGAATGCCTTAATACATATTTGTTAATATTGTAAGGTCACTGTATAGTTCTTTATCACATCATTAAAATCATTCTATTTTTTTCTTTTTTTTTGTACTCAACAAACGCATAATACTTTTTACCAACTTTATCTATTAAGTTAATGTTTTTTTTGTCAAAATTCAATCGGCTATCAATTTTTTTTTATCTTAGGTTAAGTATTACTTTGAATGCAAACTTAGTACAAAGGGAGGTCATTTATAAATTACCTTATTTATATGGATTTTTGGTCAAAATTGAATGTGTTTATTTTTTTTTTAATCTACATTGTCACTTGTTTGTAGATACAAAAAATATTGTTGTAATTTATGAATGGTCTCCCAAGTTTTTGCCATCTTCTATGTTTATTGTATTGGTGCAATGTATTACCTTGTTTAGTCTATGAGGCTGCCAGTGCAAAAGTGGCCTATCTTTGAAAATATGGAAATGTATATTTATATATTATATTTATTGTTATTCTGATGTATGAGCTATATTATTGTAAAGTTTCATTAAAATCCATTCAGTAGTTTTTGCGTAAAAGAGTAACAAACATCCATACATCCTCACAAACTGTCATATTAATAATATTAGTATAGACATATACATATTACAGATATCCCTTACAACACGATTTCTTCAATGATTAAGTAAGTACTTTTTATAAAGAAGATTAATTACATATTTTAAAAGTGTGAGTTAGACCATTTGTGCGCTGGCGCTTAACGTACACTATTTGCTTTGCGTTTAAGGGTCATAGTGACTGTACATTAATTACCCAGTTTTTTTTTACTTTTCTTTCACATATACACAGTTTTTGCTATTAAAAAGTTTTAAATATTATCTTTTCGGTTTTTTTCGCGGATTTATTTAGATTTTTGGTTCCCGACCGAGCATTAGAAATGCTTTACAGCTATCATGGTCACGGGACAGACTAAGGTTTTAGACGTCTCGCGTAAGCAAGAAAGTATTGTGCTTTAAAATAATATGAAATATAAGGTACCAGAGCCGCGGGCAGTGGCTTATGTTTAGTATTTTATGTTTTCAATAGTCCGTTTTTTAATTATTTTTTAAGATTCCATTTTTAGAATGTTTTTATTATTTTTTTCTCTTTCAGCATCGCTTATGTTAACCCTTCCCAAGTCGATCTAAAGGTAGTTGTAAAAATGTAAATCATATATTTTTAGACGAAGTGACGGAATGCTGAAATAATCACGTGAACTAGTTTGTAATGATTGAAATTATAAAAGATTTGTAATTTAGATAATAATAAAAAATAATTATAATAAGAGTGGTGGTTTTATTTTATTTTTCTTGTTGTTTTTGATATTAAAGCTGTTTTCCAACAAGCAATGGGAGAAATGCTTTTTACATATTTCTATCTCTTAACAGAAACTTACTTAAATATATTTTACTAAATAATAATAATAATACATAAAATAAATAGAAACCGTTAATATGTTTTCTATTTATTTTAAATAAATTAAAATGTACCTATTTAACGCAATAATAAAATTAAATACTCTGTTTCTAGTTCGGATTTTTTATTACTCGTTATTAATGTGTCACTAAAATTTTCAAAACGAATCTTTAAATAAAAGTATGGTATCGATAAGGCCTCATTTCCCCTAAATAATGAAAAAAAAATATGTAATACGATTTGATCTTTTCTTTACATATTCTGAAAGTTAGTGTGCCCGATAAGATATATTTATGAGAGAAAAAAATTAACAATTAATACTACTTGTGAGAAGCCAAACTTTAGTCTAAACTCTAATTGGTAACTGGAGGAATGTACTCGTAGCTAAACTACAATGAACTATCTCGATATAAGGATCTCAAGATTAAGATTATATTATAGTGGGGTAGAAATGACTATAATTATTAAAAGAAGTTTAGTATAGCGGCAATTTATATTTCCAAATTCGAAATAAATGGCCCTGACATCTTGCAGTTCATATATGCGAGGAAAATTTAATATATGAAAATACACCACGGAGGTTGGTCTTATTTAAACAATTGTAACAACAAAGTGTAATATATATGTAACTAAGTTTAGTTGTATTAAAATTTGCAGAGAATTAATTCGAGGTATTAAAGTATAAGATATCAATTGATTTTCTATTACTTTCGCCATTAAAATTTCTAGAAAAAATAGTTTAAATAATGTCAATAGATGGCGTTATATGTATGAATTTGTTATTGAGTTTGTGCAAAATTAACAAAAGATAAAAAATAGATCCCAAAAGATACATTTAGGTTTAAAAAATATTCCAAGTGAAGGCATACCAAAAAATCCAATCGTAAATCATGTTTGCATAATTTTGCTCAGATTACTGAAATATCAACAATCAGGTAACGGGTTTGCAGTGCGTATTAACAGATGGCGCTGATCACTATCGCTCACTGAAATTTGTTAAATAAAATCCAGGATGAATTTTCCAATGCTTCAAATATTTTAATACTCACATATTATAAAGTAAAAGAGTATGTCAGTTTGTGGATCCACGCCACATATAATAATAATAGCGAATAAAAATAGCACAAATTAGCGCTGTTCAAGTTTGTATGTCATTTAAGCTCTTACATTACTAGAACGAAACGTAATAGAAAATGGTATAAATAAAACTATATTTAATATAGTGAAATAATTTATTTGGGTTACTAGCGTACAGAATACATATTCGAATAAAAAGTAAGTAAATAAAATAAATAGCACCGTGTACATTAATTCAATAAAAATAAACTTACTCACTGGTAAAAATGCACTTTGGAATTTATAAAGTTACAAATAAATGCTACAATAGAATAGAAGGTACATATTTAGAATTATAAACTATATGTAAAATAATATATATTATTTTAATTAACTGGTCATCACAATATTTTTGGAATAACTTTGGTTTCAAAATCATAGTTAACTTAAATATAACGATATGGCAACACAATAGGAACATTTAATAAAATAAGGTTTGGTTTAATTTTTAACTTAACGTAAACAAAAATATATTTTAAATATAAATTAAAAAAACTATTGTTAATGGTAACTCATAACTGATTGAAATTTAAAATGTCAACCAATTTAATAACAATTCAATAAAAAAAATATATGACAGATTTTTAAAAGTCCTACATATTTATTGTAAGCTATTACATTTAAATAGCTTATCAATATACTTGCAGAATATTATTCAAAGGTCCATTAAATCTACGAGATATGAAACTTGATGCTTAGATTTAGATTAAATGGCTTTATAAAATCACACAAGGGATCGTCCATTAATCATGTGAGGCTCGAAAGGGGGGAGGGGGGAGGGGGTTCGAAAAAAAAACACGAAACATCACAAGGGGGGAGGAGGGTGTAGTGAGATATCGCGTGTATTTGTTTTTTAGTTGAACTTTGTCCTTCGTAGTTCTTTCGTATATATATTTTTATAATAATGCGGTTATCGACGGCCATGACGTCGTAGCAGAGTAGGTCGAGCCGGATGACAGTGCTGAAAGCTTTATTCCAGACCTGCTTTTTACGCAGCAAAATTTTAAAAATACTTTGTACCAAAAAAAAAGCACGTGATTTTGGATAGGGGGTTAGTTTAAAACCTCACCACGTATCACCAGGGTGTTTAGGGGAATTAAAAAGTCGTTAAAAAACATCACGTGATTAATGGACGACTCCCAATGTCACTAACAGAGACATTACAGATCTAAGCGACATGTCACGTGATCAAGAGTGTCATTTTTAATTCTACATTTTTCTATTTTCTATTTGCAATATCAACAGTAAAAGTCGACTAGTCTAAGAAGGCTATTTTGAAATGTTATGTTATTTTGAACATACAATTGTTTGATAGGAACAGATAATAAATTAATTTTATATTCATTAAACATGGCACTGGGGTGAAGATAGGCAAAAAATTTAAGCATTTAAAAATTAAACAGATATGTAAAATAGTATAAATGCTTCAAGCTGTATTTTTGTGTATTCTAATATTTAAGATGTAGACTGCTACAGGTTACGTTTAAAAAGTTACAATAAATAAAAGTAATGGTAATTACTAATTATTATAAAAATTATATAGATTTCTACATCTTTTTTACCAATAATATTTTGAAATGTTAATTTTAAATTTAACTATATAATCATTATTTATTCGAAATAACGATAATATATTTCGAATATATAAATCTTTTGCCTAATAAGTTTTAAATATTTGTCTACATTTTCAATAATATTTGATTGTAAGTAAAAAATACAAACTAAAAAATATTAGATTATGTCACAAAGTAAAAGAATTGGAATAAGTAGCTATATAGTAAATAACATTTTGAAAAATGGAAATATACAATGAAGTCCATTCGCTGTAAGCTTCATAAATAAATCTGAAACCAAAAAATAAAATTATATTAAAAACTATTACAACATTATAGGAGCATAAATAAATATGTTGGTACATTACCACACAGCACCATCTAGTTAAATAGTGAGCTACGAGGCCTTTGTTATGTATCCATAACAAATAGGTACAGATAGTTGATACACTACATATTATATATAACTTGAAATACACTACATATTATAAATAACTGCCTCGGTGGTGTAGCGGCTAGCATGTACGGCTGCACACCCGGAGGTCCTGGGTTCGAGTCCCGGGTCGGACCAAGTTTAGTTATTGAGTCTTTCTGTATAGTAAGCCTCAGTAACAGCCCGGAGTTGGGAAGTTGGCGATGTTCCACCCCCGTGCCTCGGAAAGCACCTAAAGCCGTCGGTCCTGCGCCTTATCTCTCACCGGTCGTGTCGAGTGGTCGTCCCACCGGAGTATGAGAGTGACAGGAATAGAGAGTGCACGTTGTGTCTGCGCGTACACTTGTGCACTATAATATCTCCAGCGCAGTTGGCTAGTCTCAATGAGATTGGCCGCCATGGCCGGAATCGGTCAGCCTTCAAGACGTCTATAACCTTAGTCCTCTCCCGTAACCATGATCACTGTAAAGCATTCGAAACGTCGGGAACAAAAAATGAAAATAAATCCGCAAAATAATCCGAAAAGATAAGTTTTATTTAAAACACAAATCTCACCTATTTCTTATACCCATTGGGGTCAGCTACGTCATCTACCTACGCCGTCACCTCGTGAGGCTGAATAGCCGTAAGCCAGCGTCAAATAGTAATTTGAAATAAGAACACAAATCTCACCTATTGCTTATACCCATTGGGGTGTGTGCTCTGCCAGCGCCAGGTGTCTGCGCACATGTCGCTCAGTCCGCGGCGAGCGCGCCACGCGAGCAGACGGTGTGCGAGCGCCGCGTCCGCGTAGTTGGCGGCCACGTCGCCCGCGCGCCGCTCCACCACCGTGTACGGTATGTGGCGTCCGCTGGCTGCTTCGAATGCGCGGATCATTTCGAGCACCGAGTAGCCTGTGCCGGTGCCTAGTGTGATAGAAAAAAAATATATAAATTTAATATTTTTCGAATATATATAATATCTTCATTTATTTATTAAATAAATAAAGGGTGTATTTTTAATAAAAAATATACTAGCGACTTAATTTCCCTTCGTTCTGGTTCGATTTTTGGTTTCTAATAGTATGTGTTATTTGACATCATAGTCTGTGAACTAAATTACATCAAAACCATTTCAGCAAAAAGGAGCAACAAACGTACATAATCATACATACCCATGCGCAATCTTTTATGCAAAAGGTTCCCAAATAGAATCTAAAATTATTAAAAAATATTTTTTAATAAAACAAGGTAGTCGGAATATCAACAACAAATTCATATCTAAATAACTATAATAATAACAAAAATATTAAACCGCTAAGCCCTATATATATATATATATATATATATATATATATATATATATATATATATATATATATATATAAGCACCATTCTAAATCCCACCTTTATCTAAGCCGATAAAATAAAGTTCACAGCAAGAAACTCCCCAAAACCGTGCTGTTGGAAGAGAAACGCCCTCGCATGACAACCAAGCAAAGTAATCCATTTCTAACCCCGTTGTTGACCTGTATGTATGTATTCAGCCCTTTTTTGACGTTCCTCTGGGCACGGGCCTCCCTTCAGTACGAGGGGGATCAGGCCATAGTTCACCACGCTGGCCAACTGCGGGTTGGCGGACTTCACATGTCTTTCGAATACTTGCTACGTTCTCTCAGACATGCAGGTTTCCTCACGATGTTTTCCTTCACCGTAAGACATGTAACATAAAAATAAAGTATCATCCCTCACCCAAATTGACAGCGTGGAAGCCGCCGGCGCCGGGCTGGCGGAGCAGGCGCAGCGCGCGCGCGTGCGCGTCGGCCAGGTCCTGCACGTGCACGTAGTCGCGCACGCCGGTGCCGTCCGCCGTGCCGTAGTCCGCGCCGAACACGCGCACCTCGCGCAGCCGACCCACCGCCACCTGTTACCACCACACAAACACACACACACACACATACATTATATATATATATTTTTATTATGTATTTTTCTATGAGATAGGAAATGTCTGCAAATAATAATAAATACAGTTTCTCATTTAGCAAAAATTAAATGAATAATAATATGAAATACTTCTAACACTTAAGCCTCCCTGAATTAAAGTTTATCTAATTTATTTTATTAAACATTCCACCGTTATTATTTTACTCTTACAATTGAATACATTTTTTAATTATTATTAATGGAACCATCCTCAAAACATGTAATAAAAAAAATACAAATTGACTCACAATTGATGAAATTGATGAAAATGCCGTACGAACATATCCAAAAAAACATTTCTGAATTTCTGAAGTCGATGAAAATAACTAAGTTTAATGAAAATAACGCAATGCTACAGAAAAACTGTTCGAACTCACCTGCGCTATATACGGCATAAGATTGTTAGGGATGCCTGACGGGTCTTCCCCGATTTTCCCACTCTTGTGAGCGCCCACCGGATTGAAATACCGAAGGGATATTATAATCCATTTCTGTAACAAAACTTAGTAATAATAAATTCAATTACAAAAAAAATTGTTATGTGCTTCAATGATAATTTTATTAATTATAAATAATATTTGCCCACGTAGCCGCTCTCATGGTTAGTATTTTATATATGTATGATTAAAATTAGTTAATGTGTTTTAATACAGGAATACTATGGATCAGAGGATACAATGTCTCAACGCTATTCTGAAGTACAATTATATATTGCCTCACTAGTTTATTGGCAGCAGTTTTGTCCTGTTTGTAATGTCAAAATAACAGCGTTTTACTAAATGCATATGAAATTATATATACGATACTTATAAGAAAACTTCATTTTTTTTAATTTTTGTCTGTCTGTCTGTTTGTTCCGGATAATCTCTGAAACGGCTGGACTGATTTTGACGGGACTTTCACTGAAAGATAGCTGATGTTATAGGGAGTAACATAGGCTACTTTTATTTAAAAAAAAGAATTACGGTTCCGCTTAAAAAAATTATAACGTACCTAGGGACGAACACGAGCTAAGCGAGGGTGAGTCGCTAGTCAAAAAAATATATACTAACTTTGTCGCTCCTGCACAGGTCCTTCATGATCTCCTCGCAGAAGTACTTGGAGCGCCCGTAGGGGCTGGCGAGGCCGCGGCCCGTGGGGTGGCTCTCGTCCAGCGGCAGGCGCTCCGGCTCACCGTACACCGTGCACGACGAGCTGTACACCAGCTTGTACACGTCGTGGTTACGCATCACCTGATCACGTATATATAATATAGGTTTATTAGGGTACATCATAATATCGTAATCATATACATTTACTTCGGGTTCGTACCTAGACAAAAACAATTCTATCCCACGGTAACCGTACATTTTTCCGGGATGATAAATAGATTATATCCTTCCTCAATAAACGGGCTATATAATGCAAAAAGAATTTTTCAAATCGGATTAGAAGTTCCTAAGATTAGCGCGTTCAAACAAACAAACTCTGCCTCTTTATAATATAAGTATAGAATATAGATTTAATTATTTTATTCTTAGGGGTAAGATATTTTTTTTTATGAATTCATCCTTGTACACCGTATTCGTTAAAAAAATCATGCAATTAAGTCGATTTACAATTTGCGAATACATTGAAGAATAATCTATACGAAAAAGTACAACCAAAATCAGTCAAAAAGAGTTCTCTTTTCGACCAACTTATTAATACATAATTATAAGGCCACAAAAAAAAATTAACAAACATTATATTCAATTATATATGTATTTAATTAACAGTATTATTTACAAATCGGCTCGAAGGACCCAAAATAATTATTCTACAAGAACTATTTACCAAAATTACTCTTAAAAAGATAATGATGTTAAAATGAAATGTTAAATTACCTCAAAGAGATTGCAGGTGCCAGTTATGTTGGCTTGGTAGTACTCTAACGGCTTCTCGACCGACTCCCCCACAGCCTTCAACGCAGCGAAATGTATCACGCAGTCTATACTGTGCTGTAATAGGAGAAATTAATATTTAATTTAATTCTGCACACCAATTATAGGCTCCCATTATATTATATGTTAATGTATTATATACATAGTATGTTAACTACCAGACTATTGAACACGTGAAACACGTGTATTGTAATTCACACAAGGAAAAAATTTCTAAAGCAAGTGTTTACGTGAAGTGTGTTTTGTGAGTTTGTGACGCTGTAGGGGGTAATCTTTGGATCTACAGAACCGATTTAGAGGAAATTTGGTAAGAAGATAGTTTGAGACCTTAGAAAGGACATAGGATAACTATTATCCCGGAAATCATCCTTTAAGGGGGTGAAAATGGGGATGAAAGTTTGTATGGGGAATCAAGCTAGGGACGAACGCGAGCGAAGCGAGGGTGAGTCGCTAGTTAATTATAAAATACTCACATTTTCAAATATTCTACTTAATCCTTCTTTATCCCTTATGTCTACGTCGTAGAAGTGTATCTTGTGTCCTGTCATTTCCTCTATTGTTTTGATTGACTCTGGCTTTTTTTCACCATCGGCCCTGAAACATTTACTGTTTGTCGTTTTACAGAAGTTTTTGAAACTTTTACAGTAATATCTTTTTTTATAGACAACCACAGAAGACGTCTAATATATACAAGGATTTCATTGAAACACTTAATAGATAGTATTTTATAAATGAAAACATACTTAGAATTTTACTTGTTGATATCTTTATATATATAATTCTTCTGTGAGTGTGTATGTCACTGAACTTCTATCAAACGACTGGACCGATTTTGATGAAATTTTTTGTGTGTGTTCAAGGGGATCTGAGAATGGTTTAGATTCACAATTTGAATAATAATTTTCATCAAAATGGTCCAGAATGTTTTAGCTTATTAAAAAAAGTTTGAAATTTTCAAATTAAAGACGTGTAGACAGGACAACGTCTGTCGGGTCAGCTAGTAAAATATATTTTAACTACACAGACGAATTTAAAGATTTATTTATTACGTGTGTTACTAAATAAATCTAACTCGTTGGTCCCGTGGTTGATATGTATGGCCATTGCCCATTGCCCATATATCTGAAGGTTCTGGGTTCGAGTCAGATCAAGTTGAGAAAGTAGCGGTGATGGAGGACCGTCATCGTTACTTTCTCCATGGAAGAGATCAAATACTTTCTACTTGTTTAATTGTCACCCTACCAGACTTAGAGAGTGAAAGGAATAGAGATGGAAGAGTGCACTTGTATTTGACCCCCGTGGCCTCGGTAGGGTAGACTGGTCACAGAGACAGATAATTTTACATCATTCTATTTCTAATCTTCCGTCGTCGTATGAGAATTTGCGTAAAGATATAAAATAAATAAATAACAAATCAACTTACCTATAAGCGTTACTGAGGTTATCCACTACAACGATTTCCATTTCGCTCTCACGCCCTTCGAGAAGAGCCATCACAGTGTGAGAGCCGACGTACCCCGCGCCACCGGTCACTAATATAGCTGGTGCCATGATTTCTCTAATTGACAAAAGAAATTATTATTATAATATCGGACTTCTATTAAATATGCGAAAGTTTGTATGTATGTCTGTTTCTCCTTCATGTTGAGACGACAGGGAGAATGTGGATGTAATTTAGTATGTACACAGTTTATAACCTGTAAGTTTAAAGAGTCAGTGTATCCAGGTCGTGAGGAACAAACCACCGGCTCAGAAAGCAGTTCTGCTGAGAAGAGTCGACAAGAAACTCAACAAGTGCTCTTTTAAATGCGGAGTTACTACTTTAGTAATTGGCCTAACTTCATAACTATGCTAATTATTTGTTATATTATAAATATTTGTCGGTCGGTGTGTACCTTGTTTCATGCAACAACAAAGCAACAGATTAAAGTGTTTTTGACTCGAGGCAGACAATGAATAGACCTAATAATAAAGGCAATTTTTATCTCGACACATTTAGTTTCCGGGAGATAATAGTTTGTTCAAAAAACAAGTAATGAATAATTAACAAATGACCTATTTTATCTATTTTATGAGAAAGAATAGTTTAAAAAATGTTATTTGTTATCATGCTTAACTTGATATGATTGACATTTTAAATAAAAGTATCTTTTCGGATATTTTCGCGGATTTATTTTGATTTATGGTTCCCAAGGTTGATATGGTTGATTTAAATATTTTTTTAATGATTGTTATTAGCATGGTAATATGCATTACATTACCGTGTTATTAGTCTCATTTAGCAATGTTTAAACAATGTCAACTAAAAATAAATGTCACAAAACAATTTAAAAAAGTATAATTAGCATAATTTTAATAAATATTAGTTAGTATAATTTTACTTAAAATAAAATCTCTAACGAATAGCGAAATACATCAATTTTATTAATATACGAGTAGCGTAAGGTAATGTAACGAGATCTATTTGCTTTGAGTGCACTTTGCCGGGTTTATTTATGAATTATGACTGTACTATGTAGGTTATTGTTTTAAAAAGGAACACTGCTTCTTATCTATTAAGACCAAATATTCACCTTTATTTTGCTCTTCTAGTTTGTAGGTCACAAACCGATTTGAGATGTGACCTATATGATGTTTTCTTATAATTCCTGCATATATAATTAGACAAGGTATCTATGCCTATAAAAAACAAAAGATAATATATTTTCGAACTAAAATTTAAATATTTTAATCTGGACAGTGTTATCATTTCGATACACTATAGCTTAGTCAGTGATCTGCCCACCACTACTACCCACCTTTATTCTCTCTTCATGTAAAGCTAGATATTCCTTGTCTGATTTAATAAGGATTTATAAAACAATTGCTTACATTACGCTACAATGTACAATTTAGGAATTCTAATAATGCTTTGATTTTGGTATTTTAGTTTTATCTAATACTAGCGGACCCGACAGACGTTGTCCTGTCTACACGTCTTTAATTTGAAAATTTCAAACTTTTTTTTATAATTTTTTTGATGAAAATTATTATTCAAATTGTGAATCTAAACCATTCCCAGATCCCCTTGAACACACACAAAAAATTTCATCAAAATCGGTCCAGTCGTTTGAGAGAAGTTCAGTGACATACACACTCACAGAAGAATTATATATATAAAGATATAAATTCTCATGTCACAGTGTTCGTAACAAAACTCCTCCGAAACTTCTTGACCGATTTGAAATTTTGTGTGTAAGTATTTATGCTATTTTTCATACCCCTAAGTGATAACGGTGGGCCACCCAGAGACGAACCCGAGCGGAGCGAAGGTGAGTCGCTAGTATTTACATAAAAAACAATTATAACACTACCATTCTTTTTATCTAAATGATAAAACAAATAAAATTAAAATGACTCCTTGTGATTTCAGGATAGTACATTTGTGTTCACACAGTTGAGATCAGTTATAATTTCATGTTTCTACTCCGCTAAATGCCGAAAGAAGGCAGTGGTATCCCAGTGGTAACTCGGGCCTTGGGACTCGCATCTCTGATATTTTCATGTGCAAATTATTTCCAACCTAATTACTACTTGTCTTACGGTGAAGGAAAATATCGTTAGGAAACCTGCATTTCTGAGAGAACCTAGCAAGTTTCTGGAAGACACGTAAAGTCCGCCAATCCGCACTTGGCCAGCGTGGTGGACTATGACCTGATCCCCCTCGTATTGAAGTGAAGCCCGTACCCAGCAGAGGGACGTCAAAAAGGGCTGAACACAGCTACCGACACAAATAAAAAAATATTCAAGTGTAGATATATGTCATGGTTTATTATTCCGCGAAGGAAAACCTTTTCCAAACCAAATTCTCTACATATGTCCAATCTCCAATATGACCGAATATATAAGAAATAACAACTTATTTTGCTTTATATAATATAACAGATAGGTAAGAATCTACTCATACATTACAATATATTACAGCAAATCATAAAACAGGTGCATGCAATTATTGACATTGTCGTTAATAAAGTATTCAGTTTTATTAACACGTCTTTCCTTTCATTATAGTAGCTACTTTATTCAATACGGTTGACATTATAATGGCCTTCTGTCTTCACAACTTTTTTTTTTCGACAATTACGTTATGGGATACTTATAACGTGGCCAGTTTACAACATACGAGGGTGCGTTTTTAAGTTTGCGGAATGAGAGGGTTGGAGGGGGGTGATTAGGCTCATTAGGATCGTAACGTGTTTAGTGACTCATAATTAGTATAAATACGAGATTTCATTGTTATTGGACTATTAGTCTTTGAGCTATTGCCAACCAAGCAACAAATTCAGGAGTGAAAAGTGAAATATGGAAAAAATCTAATATCGTTCCGTTATAAAGTTCCTTACCAAGCAAGGAAAATCAGTTGCGACCATAATAGATGAGATGTCATCGGTTTACGGTGACTCTTGTCCAGGAAAAACCATGGTATACAAGTAGCACAGTTTGTTTAAAAAAGGAAGGGAATCCCTTGAAGACGACCCGAGGCCGGGCAGGAGCATCGAGGTGACCACGCCAGAACTTATCCAAAAAGTCGAAAAACTTGTACTCGACGATGCTCGACTAAAGAAGAAACAACTCGTAGAAATGGTTGGAGTATCCGATGAAGACAAGGATGGTGTATTGAGTCGAATTGTTACTGGAGACGAAACTTGGGTTCATCATTATGAACCTGAGTCGAAACAAGACTCTATGCAGTGGCATAAAAAGGGCACAGCACCCCCCAAGAAGTTTAAGGTGTCACAGTCAGCTGGGAAACTCATGGCAACAGTCTTTTGGGACTTAGAAGGAATATTATTGATCGATTATAAAGATAAAGGTGTTTCTATAACCGGAGAATACTACGCTTCAATATTAGAGCGACTAAAAGAAGCCATTAAACAGAAAAGACGGGGAAAATTGACGAAAGGTGTGCTGCTTTTGCACGACAATGCGCCCGTCCACAAGAGCCGCGTTGCGTTGGCTGCCCTGCTTAAAGTGGGCTTCGATATTTTGAACCACCCACCCTACAGCCCAGACCTGGCCCCGAGTGATTATTACCTCTTTCCAAAAATGAAAAAAGAGCTGCGGGGTAAAAAATTTACCACCGATGATGAAGTTAAGGAGGCAGTTTCAGCGTATTTTGAGGACAAAGACGAAACATTTTTTTATGAGGGTATAAATAAATTAATTGAAAGATCTGAAAAATGTGTCCGTCTTGCAGGTGAATATATTGAAAAGGAAAAATAATTTAGTTTTTTTTATTTCAACCCCTTACCCTTCATTCCGCGAACATAAAAACCTCGTAAGTTACCGGTGCGCTTCAAATTCCTATGTTGTTTTAATCCATATATCATCAATATAGGGAAAAAAACGGCGAAATCTACATAAAATAAAGCAATTTCCGCGATATTACCATTCCACAAAGGGACCTTTTCTAAGCCTAAAGCCAAACAATTAGATTGATTCACTATATTGAATGGACTATATGGTTATTGGTACATCTATAGTAATGTTATAAAACTTTTATAACGTATTCTTAATTTTTTTCACTTTATGGCTCATACCACAATTTGCTACGTTTTATATATTTTAACCGATTTAAAAAAATAAATAGTACTGAATTCAGTTTTTTTTGTGTAGATATGTAATGTTATATCTTCGTCATTTGTGTAGCAATTTCAATAATCTTTTTGTTGTTGTAATGTTATAATTTCAATTATCTTTCTAAGTGCACGCAACCAAGACTATAAAAAAAATTATCTACGTCTATCTCATAAATAAATACGTTACAACACACACGACACATTCATTAATCACTGTAGTAAGATTTTGTCTGGAATCAGGATTAGTATCTACATACATAGTTATTTAGTAAAGAGTAGCGGCTCACCCTCGCTTCGCTCGGGTTCGCATCTAGACAAATAACAACAAATCTATCCCACGGGAACCGTACATTTTTCCGGATAAAAAGTAATCTATTTGTTATTCTGATATTTGAACTATATTATTGTAAAGTTCCATTAACATCCAATCGGTAGTTTTTGTGTACCAAGCAGTATAAGTTACTAGTTTTTTAACTATCCCACGGGAACTCTTAAATTTTCCGGGATGAAAAGTATCTAAAATGTTGACCGAGGATATAATGTACTACCATGCAAAATTTCATATAAATCGGTCCGACAGTTTCGGAGATGAGCCCGTACGAACAGACAGACAGAGAAACAAAAAAATTGTAAAAAATCTGGATTTGTTCTGTTTCTCTATGTACAGACATTCGACCTCTACAGTTTTATTAATGTATAGATAGATATAGCTACATTATACATTATATTATAAGAGACACAGACTTATATTCAAAATCAAAAACTAATTCTTATTTTGTCATAATTTTAAAGTGTTATAATAATTAAGAGCATGTTTTAATATTATCTGTTAAAAGTATTTTTATGTTATAGTTAAAACAAACCTAGCACTAGATACAAGTTTTTAAGTGCGTCTGATAAAATTCACAGGTGTGTATGTAAAAATATGTAAAGTAATAATAAGTACATTAGATCATATAATAATATAAAGAGATAAGTACATAAAACGATTGTTTTAAATATATGTATTAATAGAGCCATATGAAATTTGAGGCTACTATTTGTTTTTTTTTTAATTATATACGTAGGTAAATATGTTATTTTGCCCTCGTAGTTAAAGAGTTTAGTAAACATTATGAAAAATATTATTTTATTTGGAACTATGTAATTGTTAATTAAAACATTTCCACAATAATAACCGTTTAGCGAGCGCTAAAATAATCAGTTTCAATAAAATGTTCACCATAATATGTTATTTAGAATTTACATCATTCCAAGCATTTCTTTTTATGTTAAAGATAAATAAATACATACGAATGATATTTTAATTAGAAAGGCGCGTAATTACTTAGTTCCCTTGATCAAAAAATATTGAAAAGAATAAGTCATTTTAGTAATTTTGTGTACATTAGGTATATGAGAAATTTAACATATAGATATTTAAATAAATCGGAACAACTACTAAGCCTAACGCAATTAAATGTTTTATATTAGATACCCCCTATCTGCTATCACCGTCATAACGTGGCTTCACTACTAAGAGACTATTTACAATCAGACTACTATAATTATAAATACGAAAGTTTGTATGTCTGTATTTTTTAACAAGCGATACCTTTTACAGCTCCTTCTCAATTAAAAAGCTTGCTGCTTGACAGATTTCGATAACATTTAGCATACAGAGAGACCATGAACTGGAATATTCATTTTGCGAGCAAAGCCAGGGGTAAACCGCTTGTAGTAAATATGCATTTTTTTTATTTGAGAAAAATAGTAGTATAAAGTTAGGCGCCTAACTGTCTATCTTGTCACTCTCTTACAAGTTACATATATCACAAATTAATTTAATATGATAATTGATAACATATTATCTCATAGAGATTACTCTTACGTAATCATATATTGTTTTATAAAATAACTAGCATTGCCCGCGGCTCTACCCGCGTTCAGATGACCGAAAACCAAATTCCTAGGTTTTACATATTAGTATACTCTTACATTGCAGTTTTTGTATTTTTTCCCAGAAATGAGACATTTTCCCGCGATAAAAAGTATCCTATATGTTGACCCCGAAAACCAGCTATCACCATATCAAATTTAATCAAAATCCATCCAGTGGTTTTTCTGTGATGCGGTAACAGACAGACAGACTAAAATTCTAAAAACTATAGGTAGATTCGGCCTCTGTATCGGTAATAATGTTTATTTCAATAAGATTTTCCAAAAAATATTTAATGTACAGATTCGGCTTAGTTACAATTTTATTATATGTATAGATAAACAAACTTAAATAATGAAATTAAAACTTTTGCGTGTCTTAATTTGCTCAAATGGACATTCATGACCTTTTTATGATGAATATTCAGAGAAGTCATTTAGGGCTCTGACCGAGAAGAGAATCCTAAAAAGTGTATGCAATATTATGTTAATATGTCCGACTGTGTTTTTATTTCCAAATACACAAACGGAAGTTGGTGAACTCCTGTACATGTTATGTTAGACTAATAACCCGTAAATAAATTTACTATTATTTTAATTGCTAAAGTTAAAAGAATAATTTAGAATTTTTAGAGGTAATGTAATAACATCAAGTGGCACTAAAAATGGAAAGGGGCTCATTATGAGATATACAATATGTATATTTTTAATTTCGAAACATATAGTTACAAGGATATTATGTGTACAGAATAAATTAAATTTAATTTTGAACAAAAAACGAAAACTCCTGATTCTTCTAAAATCCAATAATGTCCAAACTCTCCTTTACGGCCTGTCCGCACTGCGATATTTCACCGCACGTTTTTATTCTCGCAATTCTGTAACACATTGAATCTTAGGCCCTGTCCGCACTGCGATATATCACCGCGCGATTTTTATTCTCGCGTATTATATTCCGTGATCGAAATTGTACTTATTACGCACTGCGACATAAAATTCGCGCGTTTCGCTCAGTCGTGCACCGACGCTATTGGTTTATCGAATGATTTTGTAGTCATTCTGTAATATCCGAAAAACTTTTTACTGTATTTTCGCAGCTATTGATATTTAATGTAGAAAAACATCATTTTAGATTACTAAAATGTCTTAGTAGATATAGTAGATTTATCATTTTAGACGTGTGTCTCAGTCGGGAACTGCATCAAACTGACAAAAATCGTACGAAATTTTATTCGCAGTGCGTAATAAGTACAATTTCGATCACGGAATATAATACGCGAGAATAAAAATCGCGCGGTGATATATCGCAGTGCGGACAGGGCCTTACTGTTTACACACGACATTGACTTGATTAGTTAATTTAACGTCAACACAAGTAAATGTGTTGCACACTTGGCACGTAACGTTACAAGTTTGCTCATAAAATAAAATACCTACAATTGCAAAAATTTCACGTTTAAGTAATAAATAATAAGTCTTTATCGCGGATCAGCAACAATAAAATTATGTTACGATAGATTTATTAGTTTTATTTTTTAACTTATGAGTTTATCGTGTAGTTATTAAAATTATTCGTGTGTAAATTGTAATTTTGCTAAAGTTCACAATAATTAACGAAAAATATAATAATAATATAAGTATAATACGTAAATAATAAAGCTACATATTTTTCTAAATTATTGATGATAGGAATCACAAAGTTTATACTGTAAATATCGATAAAAGCGAAGAATATGCATTATAGAAAATTTTCTCACAATTTTTTTAACACTTAACAAAGACAAATATAAGTTGAACTTCACTTACAAAAAATTATTGAGTAATGTAATACTATGCGCGCGCGTCACTCTCAATGGTCGCCAGGTCACTGTCGAGTCTCAACTGTTATCAAACTGTTCTGCTATTATGACCAGATTAGCTTATCAGCGCTTGTATCAAAGTCGTAGAGTGCTCTATACTTTTGTAATATGTGATACAACTTGACATAATATTTAAGTCGTATGATTGATCACTTTACAATTAGTAAATTATAATGCCTAGCACTATTTCATCTTGACTAATATCAAGATATAATTAAAGTTGAAGCAACATAAGATGAAATCTAGTTACTAAAATACGAGTTTTTTTTCTTATAATGTAATATAATGTGATAAATATGTGATATAATGTTATGTATAAAGTAAATTATCTTTGTTACACCTGTTATAGTTTTTAGTTATAGTAGGGGAGCCCCAGAGGGGATTTTTGCAGTTACTCAAGCGCGGCAGATTAACATAAGGGAGGATACCTTGCACTCTGTTGAGTACCTCCACCATAATATAAGTCCTCTATATAAGGGCGCGCGTCTAGGGCGGTCGATCAAAATATTTAAAAAATATTTTGATAAAGGTAGAAAGAAATACTTGAAACCGTCAGATTAAGGTATGGTATGCTAATTACATCCTGAAAAGTGTGCAATTCAATAATCTGCCGATTTGCACAAGCCGAAGATCTATCAGCTGCCTTAGAAGCACGCACTTATAATATGTCTGTCTGCCTGTTACCGCATCACAGAAAAACCATTGGAGGGATTTTGATGAAATTTGGTATGGTGAATGGTGATTGCTGGTTATCCGGGTCAACACATAGGATACTTTTTACCGCGGGAAAATGTCAGATTTCTGAGAAAAAATACAAAAACTGCAATGTAAGCTTATACTAATATGTAAAACCTAAGAATTTGGTTTTTGGTCACCTGAACGCGGGCGGAGCCGCGGGCATTGCTAGTCTTTAATAATTCAAATGATCTTTAGTTAAAATTTTGATTTTGATATATTACCAAATATATGTAAAGCGGTTGGCGGCAGTTGGATATGTAGGAGCAGCCTATATCCAGCAGTAAACAAATGAACCTGATTATGATAATGATATTATAGAAAAATTATTTAATAAAATAATAACAATTACATTATATTTTTTTCCTGTAAACTTATCTTTTAATAATATAAATAACCTTTTGCACACAAAGTAGACTTAGGTTACATAATCTCTATCCTCTTAGAGAATGAATTTTTACACAAGTTCTAAAAATTACCGCTTATGTATTCATATTATGTAAACTTACAAATTTGACTTACAAAATATATGAATAGCATTTGGTTCTGCTCCTGTGGTGTGTATTAAAATAAACCCACATGTAACCCACTATATATCTGCCTTTAATATTTCTTTCAAATCTGTTAAATCATTACAGTTTGAGAATGTACCAAACTTCTCATTCACATAGTTTTGCATTAACGATATTATTATCGTTATTTGATAAAAATTAATCATATAAAAGACTAGCAACTCACCCTCGCTCCACTCGGGTTTATCCCTACTCAAGTTTTAATATTTAGTATAGATTTCTCAGAGATGAGATATTTTCCTGCGGTAAAAAGTCGTAGTAAAAACCTCCAGTGGTTTTTCCATGATGCAGTCACAGATAGACAGACAAACAAAAATAATATAAAGATTCGGCCTCTGTATTGATAATAATGTCTATTTAAATAAGATCTGCCAAAAAATATTTAATGTACAGATTCTGCTTAAGTTACAATTTTATTATATGATGTATACATGAATAATAATATTTAGCACCATCAATTACTAATTATTACTTGTTCACACACACTTTTACAGTTATCATTTTTTAAATCTCTCTTTAAAATCTTTTTTTAAATTAGTTTGAAACCTATATTAATTTGTTTCATAAGTTCTTTTACTTAAAAATTTTGGATGTTCAAGTAAAAGAACTACTTAAGAAAAATATAATAATACTTTGGATGAAAAAGTATAGTTATTTTATAACAAAAGTATTTAAAAATTACATATAAAGAAACTATACACTTCTCAAAACTCAATATCAAATTTACATGGGCAGAATTAAAGATACATTTCAAATTTTTTTTAACTATATTCTATTAATTCCTATAAACGGCAGTCAGAAGAATTACTGTAAATATTCTGTACTTACTTCGTTTCCAGAGGCTTCATTTTTTTACAAAGCTCCACCCGAACTCATGTGTTTTCCTTAATTCGAAATTTGTTTACTTTAAAGAACATCCGGTACATCTGAAACTTCATTATTGCAGTCAATTTCAGTGCTATTCATGTTCTTTCCGACTAATGTTCCCTCGATGTTTGAAACAGAAATAAGTATTTAAAAAATCCTACGTGAAATAAATCTTTGTTACTTTAATGTTGGATACGATTCAATATAAGTGACTAAACTGTTTAGTGTTTTAGTGGTCACTAATAATTTACAACAATAATAACAAACTGCAATTTTTATCTTCTAAACGTCATTTTTTAGTTTTTACTTTTTACTTTACCTAATTGTCCTTACTTGTCATTTGTCAATGGCATATTAGGTGTCCGTTGAAAGATACAAAAAACTGTTTAAATTAATCAATATATTGTAATATATTCAAGATTTAACTACAAAAATTAATAGTAATCTCAAATCTGTATGATTGCTTAACAGTAAAAGTTTTATGACACATTAAATTAAAACGGAGAAAATAGAAATTAGTGTAAAACATTATATATCAGTGATTCAGTATAATATTATAAATTATATGTTATTATTATCGTTCATAGATGATTTGTGGGTATTTTCTCCTATTACGCATACCATATCTATGAAATGTAACAAAACCTTCTCAGGTACTTTGTAAAAATCATTCATTTACAATTTACATGTTCAGTATTTGTTTACATTATTAATGCCGTATGCGGTTATTACTTCATCAAGACAATCGTTCTTAGCTTTGTATTTTTACTTTAATATTTTGAAAATATGAAAAAAAGTTTTCTTTTTACTTAATAATAATAATTTAGCAATTTGATCGTCCCACTGATGGGCACGAGCTTCTCTTAAATACTATTAAATATAGTCATAATACACCACGCAGGCCAAATGCGGGTAAGAAAAATATCGTGAGCAAACCTGTTTTGATGTTTTTCTTCGACGATTTACACATGAAAACGCGACGACACGGATGAGGCCCGAAATTTAAACCTACTTCAATTGGTTTTCTAAGGGAGCACCTTTCAACTTACCATAACATAAAACATATGTACATCGTAATAGCCTATGTATATAGTTAATAAGTGGTTAATAATTTTAAATGTTAATAATACTTATCAATAATATTAAATCTTTCTTTATAAAGATATAAAATATTTTTAAATTATCTGTGTACACGTCAAATTACTTTTTTTGGTTGACCACACTTTTGACATTTTCTGTATCTGTCTCTTTTGCTCCCGCTCAGTGTTCAAGGTGGTTATTTCAATGTATATTTTGGTTAAAATAATATTTTGCTGCACTTAACTAATAAATATTATATTTACCACGTTATTTATATATCCAAGAATATTACTCCTCCAAAAAATTAGTCAAGACGGTAAAGATTACCATGATATTTATCGGTGACAAATTTACCTTCTCCGTGTCGAAGATTGTTTTCATTAGTTAATGTGATATAACGATACAAACATTAACATTAATAAATAAGTATAATAATATATACAGTCAGTGAAGTTATAGTTTTGTGAAAAAGTGCTTAAATCTAAGTTTTGTTGACCATCTCACAAATTTCTAATATAACCTATACATCGTGCCACTTGTAGTTGTAAAGTGATACTCGGTTTCCAGATGAGTACGAAAATCATCAAAGCGAACGCTGTGGAGCCCGATGGCTTCGAGACCTCGATCTCGCAGGCGCTAGTCGAGTTGGAGACCAACTCTGACCTGAAGGCCCAACTTAGGGAGCTCTACATTACTAAAGCTAAAGAAATTGAACTGCACAATAAGAAGGTAAACAGAATTATTAATATTATAACTTTTAATTTTAATTTGGTAAATAACTTAGAATTGCTTGAGTTATCAAGGATATAAAAACATTTCATCAAAGATGAAAACTTAATGTATCAAAGAGACTAAGTGTAATCAACGTTAATATTCTCCATAAATTGTTGACATATCTTGGTTTTTTATTTTTAAATTCTTTGAAATTCTTTTTAAATTCCTGGAATTTATTTTACAGTCAATCATCATCTATGTGCCTATGCCAAAATTGAAGGCATTCCAAAAGATCCAGATCAGATTGGTCCGTGAATTGGAGAAGAAGTTCAGTGGCAAGCATGTTGTGTTCATTGGTGACCGCAAAATCTTGCCTAAACCAAGCCACAAGACCCGTGTTGCTAACAAACAGAAGAGGCCTAGATCTAGGTAAAGTGGCTAATCTGTACCAGTTCAGAAAGCTGAAGAGAATGTTTAGTTTGTTTGAATGTGTTATTTGATAGAAATACACTTTTTGAGGGTTAATGATTCCCCTATTAACAACAAATGTTTTAGGTAACTTAACATCACACAATCTACCTTTAGGAGTGGAGCATTATACATATAACATAAATAATCTATGCAATTGGGGCAGCGGGCACAATTTATTTGATTCATTAGAAACCCCAAAAAAAAAATTTGTTTTATATATAATATGATGTTGATGTATGACAGAAGTAGGTAAACATTTTCCTAGTAGAGGTATAAACTTACTGTTTTGACTGTAGAGTTGATAATTTGCAAACTTAACCTTTTATTTTCAATTCGACAGTTTGAAAATTTCCATTCTTATTTTGAATTCTTAATTTTTATTAAAGAAACACGTATTTGGAATTAGTTAAAGAAAGTGAAAAATTCTTGATATTTTTTTGATTTATACTGAGTTTTCTCATTTGTGGTTATAAATTTGTGTATATTGTCTCAACACTTTTACTTATATGTTAGGGACTGGTAAATATGTTAATAAGGAATAGGAAAGTGTGTTGCCATATTATTTGCTTTTTTTTCTAAAATACACATTTAAAAAATTTAAGATACATTGTATTGCAATATAAGATAAAACTGACAACTTTCATATATAAATACATATTAGCATAATATATAAAGAAAATACTGTATAAAATTTTGTTTTGTATTATAGGACTTTAACTTCTGTATATGATGCTATTTTGGAAGACTTAGTGTTCCCCGCTGAAATTGTTGGCAAACGCATCAGGGTTAAGTTGGACGGCTCACAGCTTATCAAAGTGCACCTTGACAAAAATCAGCAAACCACTATTGAACATAAGGTACAGTTTCATTTTATTCATAGCTTTTGTATTTGACACAATATGGAATTTATTGGAAACCTTGTATTGGTCTTAACTTTGTTCTGTATTGAAATATTGTGATGTGATTTGAATGGTAGTCTCTAACGTTATGTCATGTGATTGGAAGATATGATCAAAACAAGTATTTACATCTTTAAATCTATCTGAGAATTGAATCCACAACCTATTTAATAGAAGTCAGTACAAATCCAATGTGTCTTAGTTTAATATTTGAGGAATAAATGCATTCAAAACATATTTAAGATATGCCTATAATAAAATGTTTTTAAATTAATTGCAAATTTATAAATTCTTCTATAAGAATAATATGAAAGTAACAATGAAGTAATAATGTAGTAATTGACTATATATATTTCCTTTTTGTCTCCATAATAAGTAAGTTCGTTTCTTGACCTAAAATAAATTAATAAATATACTCTAGTTGCTAGGTACGTTTTCATTTGGTTTTGTGAAACCTTAATTCTTTTTCTAAAATAAGAGTTACTCCTTATAACATCATCTATCTGCATCCCATCAAAATCTGTCCAGACGTTTCAGAGATTAGCCAGAATAAACAGAAAAACAAAAATGTTAAAAATTGTGTTTTTTTTTCTTATAAGTATCGTAATATATAGTTTCATAAGCATAATACTTTCTTAGATTTACGCGAATACTTGACATTTCAAATAAAACCCGTGACCATGGATGCTGTAAAGCATTCGAAACGTCGGGAACCAAAAATCAAAATAAATTCGCGAAAAAAATCCGAAAAGATAGTTTTATTTGAAAAGTTTCATAAGCATTTAGTAAAAAGCTGTTATTTTGATATCACACAGACACATCAATTTTATTTATCTGTATAGATAAATAATTATTGTATTTTTATCCACAGGTGGACACCTTCCAGTCAGTATACAAGAAGTTGACGGGGCGCGAAGTCACGTTCGAATTCCCTGAACCCTACTTGTAAACTTAGACTATGACTTTACAATAAAACTAAAACCTTATTCATTTGTTTCATTTGACTGCAACCAATAGGTCGAGTTACAGATGAAGAGAAACTCCTCTGTGAGATTTTTCTCAAGGTACAAATATAATATTCTGCTGGAAAAGTCTATATATTACCCCAATGTTTATAATCCATACATTTTTGGACAGAACAAGTATTGCAGTAGTCAAAACTTGGACAGACTGAAGCATGTAATTCGTCTTATAATAATAAAATCTAAACTGAGTCCACTAATATCAAATGACAGGTTTCTCTGTATATCTATACAATAAAGTACTTGCTACTGATTCGATTGGGTTCTTTCCTAGTTGGATTTTGTATTCATAATATGGATGGATATCGAAACCTTGGAAAAATACTTCAGGCCAATGTATAGTCTCTCAATACTAAATTTTACCTTGTGAAGGAGTGATAAACATATAAAAATTACTATTTGACATAATATTTGACATCACTAACATTTGCAATATTAGTGTGATGTGATGTGGATTGAACCAAGTCTGGGTCGTGTTTGTGCTGTGAATGTTAATAGACCATAATCAACAATAACGACATGAATATTTATAAAATATTTCCAACACTAGACTACTATATAGTGTAGAACCCAATATGACTTATTATGATGACATAGTCCTGGCAGTTCATATCCATCAGTCCCAATATTGTTTTTTGTCTGAACTAAAAAACATACAGAACATGCATGAATAGATATTAGTATCTGAGCGACTGGTATATATATATATATATATATATATATATATATATATATATATATATATATATATATATAGGAATTGCTCGTTTAAATATATTAGATATGATTGCCATTAAATGAAGAGGTCAGACTACTTCAATAAATTTGATTTAATCAGCATCCAGTATTAAAATGACTCCCATTTGTATATTATGCTCTTTTCAATTTATATTTAATAAATAAATTATTATAATATAATTCTCAAAACATCAGTGGACAATTTTACTTACAATTAGACGTTATCATATTAGAGCCTCATCAAAGAAAGTAGTTCAAATAAATGTTAATAGATGGCGTATCAATTTGTTATAAATATTTGTGTAAAATAAATACCAAAACGGAGCGTTTTCCATCTATATTTTTTATTATAATACATATTATGTGCAAGGCATAAATTGTTTTACATCTAATAGAATATATTCCATTACCGTATTATGCCGCGGTGAATATATTATTATCAAATGTATCTATGGATAAAGGTTGCTTTTACAATAATCAGGTATGAAAAATTCATTACCTAATATAGAATATATTTTTACTTTTAAATATTTTTTCTTTTTTCGCTTTTACACATTAACAATTGAATACATGTAACGCCATCTATTGATATATAATTTTACTAATTTTTATATCTAAATAATTAGTTAAAATGGTGAAGGAAAATTAAACAAAATTATACTCAATTTTGTTTATTATAAAATTCAGTCCATTGCCGTTCTAGATCTAAAGATAAAATGCGAACAAGAAAACATCACATTCATATACCAAAGTGCAGCTTAATTAGAAATATGTACCGTTCTTCACAGAATAAATATATAGCCGTAAAAACATCAAATCTCTTTAAATCCTTTCCCCAATTTAAGTAAAATATTGATCGATAATATCAGATTTGACTGTATTGCTTTTTTTCAATAAAACAAAAATGTACATATATTGAAATAGACATACATACATTAACATTATTTATAGTACAATAATTAAATCAATTTAAAAAAAATGACGTAATATTTTATATTATATCTATATTACATGCAAAATTTATTTTAATAATAGCTATATCACATTGTGCACATAAAACAAAAGGTAACGTATTTAACATTATATGTGGAAGTAAATAAATCTTCAATTATAGCGTATAATAACCCAATAATCGTGCTTAATTATAAAAATAATAAAAAGAGTCGTGTGTGTGTACTTATGTACGCAGAAGTTATACTACTTTGGCGTAACAGAGCAAAAACAGCTAAAGATTTCATCCCTTATGTCAAGAACTCTGTAAAAGGAATGCAGCTAACTTCATCATGTCACTTTCAGCTACTTCATCATGTCGCTTTTTAACTGTCGGTGTACGCGCGCATCGTAAAAATTTTACTCTCATATTTTTTTCCAAACGTGCCAAAAGATATATAACTTCAATAAAAACACTTTGTTAAAATTCAGAAAATATGCAAAAAAAACCCAGTTTAGTGCTAATTCAGTGACAAGGAATTTAAGAGAAGAATTTAAGACTATCATTTGATCAGATGTATGTATGTATATACATAAAAAAAAATATTAAGATAAATAATTTATATTTTGTATAAAAAAGAAATGTATGAATAAGATATGTATATCAATAAAGTACAGGGTTATAAAAGTGAAAGTTCTTGGGCGATTTCCGACACTGGTAACAATGTAAGCTTATAAAAAGTAAGAAAAAAAACCGAATTTAGTCTAATACTCTATATAATATTTTAAAATTTTTCACCACCGCCAAGGACAATTCACTTGAAAAATTTTAAAATCAATTTAGACCAAATTGGCGTTAAATAAATGCAACTACTATACAATGGAAAATACGTACAGAAACTGGAATTATTTTTGATACAAGCATTGCCTAATTAAAATAGCTAACAACCCTTTCACTTACAATCTATTTATATTATTCACCCCTTATTTTTAAGTGCAACTAATTTTTTATATAATGCTATTATAATCTGTTATTTGAAGCTGGAAACACAATATTGTATTAAATGGATAGTTTTATTCTATTACTGTAATTTAAGATATAACCTATGATAGATGACCCATTATTAAGAACTACTATAAAAAAGTTGGCCGTCACGGTACGCCCGGCAGATGTGAAACATCTATGTTAATATTAGAATTCATGATTAATAAAAACCTATAACGAAATATGGAGTAAAATAAAGAAAAAATAGAGTTTCATTAATATAATCATTTTATTTTTCTTGTTATTTTAATAATAATAATAATTATAGAATACATATACATAAATGAATAGAAAATATGTATGTAAGTATTTTTACAAGAGGTTGTTTTACAATGGAGCGTGTACACTGTATAGTATACGCGAGCGCACACACAAGGGAGCAATGACTGCGTCACGCCGTCGTTTGTCAAACCACGAGTCCGTTTTACTGCCAAGGCGCGCCAATAGATGTTTCACATCAAAAATATTGCATTCATGTTTAGGTATGTCTTAAAAAATTGCTCTTAATTAAATGAAATGATACCTAGTAGTAAAATATTAAGGCACTAAAAATTGGCAAAATCGAGACATTCATGTAAATCAATTAATATAATAATTTGAATATTATTACACAGAGTGTATAATAAATTATTGAAATAAATATTGTATAGAATTGTGATAGCAGCATAATGAAAGAAACAAAGAAGAAGCCTAGAAATAGCAAAGACGATAATATGTCTAGTACTAACATAGTGCTTGTAAAAATAATAACATTTAGTAATTTAAAAGTCAATTAAAATATATTATAGTAATTGAAGACATTTTTCCTATAATATGGTATCATATTTGTTTAGATATGAAAATTACATGTCAGGCACTAGAGTTAGCTATACCATAGACATGGAGAGTGGGCTGAGTGTTTCTTTGCCAGTCGTCAGCCCAAAATGGCGGATGGACAGAGACAAAATGAATGTGCGGCCAGATTTTAAATTCCATTATATTATAATTTTCAATAATATACAAATTTTACTATATATATAACTTTAATATATAAATTTTACATACCGTTTATAATATTTAAATTGCAATAAAAAACAGGTGTTGGTCGCAGGTTCGCTTTCTTTCTTTCTAGAGAGTGGTCAATTTCATGTCAGTATTGCTCAATCCATACTCTGTCTATATATGCCTATACCAGCTAAAAACCAACTTAAAAAAAGTAAATTTCACAATGACGTATAACAATGTTGCCAACCTAAGAGATTCACAATTTATAACTCTTGACCATAATATTTCTCTAAATCGTTTAAACTTTCAGTGTTTTCCGTTTTACTTACCTTATCATTGGAATTTGTTTGATTATTTTGGTTTTCACTTGAGTTTATAGGTTTGATGACTTTTATATATGGAACTGGTACGAGTCCAGCTGTTTGTCTGTCTGTAGTGGCCATCAACCAGCCGGAGTTCCAGAGCTGTCCTTGAAGATGCTGAGGAGCAAGGATCAGGACCTGGTTTGCTGAAAAGCTGATCTCTTGGGGTGATGTAGCTTGGAAGTCGTGTTGAGCGACTGCCCTTAATGGATTCTGCCAAGTGTTTGGATCTTGCACTGAAAACGAATTTTTATTTCAAAATAATTTATAATATATGAAGCAAAATATGTACAACATAGAGTTCGTATTTTTTAATGAATACCACTTGTCAAACGAGGCAATAGTGCATTGTAAAATATGACATAAATTACATATAAAATATGTTTACATTGTATGACTATTTAAAAAAAAACACAAATACAATTAAGTTTAAATCACTATAATTAACATTATAAAAACAAATCAGTATAGCATTATGACTTCACAAGCTTTCATTGTTTAAAGAAAACAAATATACAGATAAGTTTATCTTTTATCTGGAACTAACTGATAGCTGTATTTATGTTGCTATTATTACTTTATATAATAACGTTTTTTAATCAACTTTAATGTACATTGCATGTTTACAAGCGCAGATCCATTCCTCAAAAAAAGGTTATGGTACAGCCACAGGAAAATGGCTATAAGTGCGTATCGAAGTTGCAACTCATATATTTCATTTCTAAAAAGGTACTTTACTCTGTGTTGTATAGAGAAACAATCTTTCCGCGGTATCTATACTGATTGCTGACCACGTCCAATTGCATGCCCAACTTGCCCATAACGGTGGATCCGCGCTTGCATACTTAACATGGGAGGCAAGAATATAACAGTGTAACAATTATAATTGTACCTGATTAAATTACATACATGTAGCAAAATGCAAATTATTAACTATGTATATTTTATTTAAGTTATATAATTTACTTTGTCTTTTTTTGTCACTCTTTTATCTGTCATAGACATATTGTATGATTATTTCACTCACAATCAGCCTGATTGCAAACATCTGATTTGTCATATGGTGATGAAATACAGGAAACATTATGACACGTTTGGCTCAGTTTGTAGTGAACTTATTTGCTGTGCCACGGTCGCCGTGGCATTAAGACGGGTTCGAATCCCGCTGGGGGCATTCATTTGTGTGATGAGCACGAATGTTTGTACTTCAGTCATGAGTGTTTATATTTATAATATGTATGTATTTAAAGTTATATATGTGAGGTATATCAACTATCTGGTATCCATAACACAAGCTTCGTAGCTTACCATGGAACTAGATGATGCTGTGTGTTAATGTCCCAACATATTTATTTATTTATGATGCCTTAGAAAATTCTGAGTGACTAGAGTAGTTCATCATATTTAAAGAAACGACGATTGTGATACTTTTTTTTTGTATACAATTAAAAAATTTTTTTTGCGAATTACAATATTACTTACATCTTTCGTGTATACTTGAAGTCAATCCATTAAGCATTTTCAATACAATGTAAGGGGCGGCCGCTATGACACCGAAAAATAGGAGAATCGGCCAACTGGACCCTTTGGCCTTCTGTTCAGGAGAGGCGGCACCGGTCTGTGTGGCGGCCACAGCTTCGGCCCAAGCCTGCAACATATAAAACCATCAGATTATAACTTTTATTTGTACTTTTTGTTTTGAAATGAAGGTTTCTTGGTTTATTTGTTCACAGCCATGATTTTTGCGTACTAATAGTTTATGACCGGGGGCTTATAAACTATCATAATAGAAAAATATGTTGCTATGATATGTACTCTATTCGTATTCAGCCCTTTTTATCGTTCCACTGCTAGGCACGGGCCTCCCTTCAGTACGAGGGTTATCAATCAGGCCATAGTCCGCCACGCTGGCCAAGTGCGAGTTAGCGGACTTCACATGTCCTTGCTAGGTTCTCTCAGACATGCAGGTTTTCTCACGATGTTTTCCTTTACCGTTAAGACAAGTGGTAATCATATTGAAAATGATTCGCATATAAAAATATCGAAGGTGCGAGAGCCGGGTTTTGAACTCGCTTCACTCGGTTTCTCAAGCGAGCGACTCCCTAAATTTACATTAATGTATTCTATTTACATTAATGTAAATTTATTTTGATACACAGTTTTACTTCTAGTGATATCTTTGTAAATTATAATGTTTATACCTACAATGTAAATGCAGGTATTAACTATGTCATTACCCTTGCTGATGTACATTATCCGACTGTAGGTACCTACTATTACTTTATGTGGAGGTAATATAAGTTGTATGTATTCTAATTATAAATATAAAAGTATAAAATAATCATTACACATTATAAATTCAAGTCCCCTGCCGCGATGAGTGTGTGTTTGTTTGGTCTAATCTCAGAAACGACTGTACGGATTTTCATACGGTTGTCATTAACAGCACTAGAAATTATGTAGGAAGGTATATGTAAAAGGCTATAATTTATATCATATAACTAATTACTGGGGATGGCCGAAATTCGTTTTATATTCGTTTTAACCGAATTTGGGCAGGTTAAGTAGAACTATAAGTGCCGAACATTCGGCAATAGAAAAAAAACCTACTTGCACTATTTTGACTGAAATTAAGAGAAAGCATGTCTGTCATAACAATAAAATAAAATTAAGTCTTTTATATATGTACTCATTAGTTTGATCGGAATCGGGTTTGAAAACAAAAAAATTAAAACCTGAAGTTGTATATCTTCAAAACGTTAGCATTTATATAATGATCAAAAATCCTTAAAACGCCCCCAATATCCAGCTACCTCCGAGAAATGGGGGGATGAAAAGCATTGAAAAATAGTTTTTCCAATTTTCGACTTACTGTGACTTCCTATAGAAAAATATTCTACTCTTCAAAAGTTGTAGGTCTAGTAAAAATCTATAACTTTTATAGATGATACTTTTTACAATAACCTCAAAGTTTTCGAGATATTTGCAAAAAACATTTTTTCTTGGTTCTTTATTTTTAATTTCTGCAATATTTTTTTAATTTTCGTGACACTAGGGGAATGTAATCTTACTACTCGTAGCCTAAACGATCCTCAAGCAGTCTACTGTTCTATGCAATGGCTATATGAGTCCTTTCTAGAAGAGAGGTTCAAGATGATTTTTTTATGAATATATTTCGAATTTAGATTTTAGGTAAATAAAGAGAAACTCCAAAAGTAATCTTGATCCCATTATCATATATGGATTATCTATAGTACAAATTATTTCTCAAGCCGAAAACGAGTGAGAGGAAAATTTCGTATAAAATATTAGTAGTATATATTCTCAAAAATGGATTAAAACATATATATGTGCATATATATGATTTAAAAAAGTTATATTGACGTATGTATAATATATTTATAAAAATATTTAACGATTAGTATGGAATATATAGACTCTATACTCGTAATACATTACTGCTTCACTCCCTTGGCTAGTAGCGTTATGATATTGTATAGCCTACAGCCTTCCTCAATAAACGGGATATCTAATCCAAAATTAATTTTTCAAATCTAATTAGTAGTTCCTGAGATTAGCGCGTTCAAATAAATAAACAAACTAATATTAAAGTAATATTATAGATATATAAAATGTATGCCAATAAGTATACCGGATAAACTAATTATATTATTAACAATTACATTTCATGCATATGATTCGTGTCACTGAAATTCCCACAGAGCTGTTACGTTTATTTATTTTACTCCGTATTACTGACTATGAACTATAAGTAAGTTAGAAGACTTGGCTTCTGCTAGCGCAAAAAATTTTTTTGTGCCAGTACATATTTAAAAATCATACAGACCGTAGTTTTATTACGATCTGTCTTTAAATCTTCTTCGAGAAAGTAAAAAAGTTAAAGATCTGATGATGGGATAGTAGAGCAGCATAAACGTAACTTTAAACTTCACTCAATCTGGCAAAATATAAATATTGTAGGCACCTACGCGAATCGAAAAAACGCTTACAAAACCAACGCATAAAATTGTTTATTACATTATTTGATATATAAAGAAAATATGACTGGGATGTGAATAAAAACATCCTAATCTGTATATCAATCTACAAGACAGAAGCAAGAAGTCAATATATTATCAAGATATATTACAACTTATCATGAAGCAAAATCAGATAAAATTTGTTCATCATTTTTTTCGTGCTCTTTTAGATTAAATATTATTGATAGATTTTTCTTCTATATATATAAAGACTATTGTACCTTTATGTTAGACTAGCCACTTCCCCTCGCTTCGCTTGGGTGCCTCCCTACATATCTTATTGCTATACATTTTATGGTTTTATTAAAATATTTAAGGCAGCGTACACCAATAAAGCAAATCAATGGCTAGTTTTAATTCCGATTACAATAAAGTTATAATAATTTCTCATAATAAACACATTTTCCTTTCTATCAGTACATAAAAAAAATCAGAATCAGACCAGTTCTTTCATAGTTTACCTTAAGGCATCTACATACAAAATTACAAATTTACAATTTAAAAATATACTAATGTTATCTCTTTACAATATTACTGTAGAGTAGTTTTCGCGTCAACACTTACAAAGTACGTCGAATAATGTAGCTTTTGTAAGTAAAATAGTTTATACAATCTATATTATTATAGTACTCTATTACAAACGTGAAAGCGCATATGTCAATTTTCAACCGACTTCAAAAAGGAGGAGGTTCTCAATTCGACTGTATGTTTTTTTTTTTTTTATGTTTGTTACCTCAGAACTCCGTCATTTATGAACCGATTTGGACAATTTTTGTTTTGTTTGAAAGGGTATACTTCCAGATTGGTCCCATTTAAATTTCAAAAAAAAATACCACCCCTAAGGGTGGAAAAACAACTAATGACGAATTTAACCTACTTCTAATTGTCATATTGACTTGAAACTTTGCAAGTATTTCTATTTCCGTTGATAGTACAGTGGTTCGGTGTTGTTGACCTGTTCTGATGGCAAGGCCAGAAGGTGGATAGGTGGAACTCTTCAACGGCTAATAGTAGATACTTTGAGTTTGGGCTTATTTTGTTTGATTTGACAAGCCTAACACGTTAGAATCCTTACTTTGCTACTACTGTCTACACTAAAAAGGGAAAAATAAAAACTTTTTAACAAAAAAATAAAAACCGACTTCAAACAAAAGCACTAAAAAGTAAAAAATAACTGATTGGTAGTTTTCATTTACTATACATACCTAATCAAATATTTTCGAAGTCGGTGTGCTTTGCTTTGTATGGGCTGGCACCGATTTCGAAAATATTTGATTAGGTATGTATTTAACAGGTAGGCTTTAATTACTTAGCCAAAGCACACCGACTTCGAAAATATTTGATTAGGTATGTATAGTAAATAAAACTACCAATCAGTTATTTTTTACTTTTTAGTGCTTTTGTTTGAAGTCGGTTTTTATTTTTTTGTTAAAAAGTTTTTATTTGTAAAATTTTCATCCTAAATCATAAAACTGAATGAGAATAAAACTTTACCGGGGAGAAATAACGATATCCGTGGCTAATGCACTCTCTGAAAATTGTCAACTTGTGAAAACTTTTAGTAGAATTTGCTATTTTGAAAGCTCATATCTTTTTAGTTTTTCTAAGCATAAGTCGCGACGAAATAATATTTTTCCAGGATCATTGAAGTCTGTATTACAATTTAATAAAATTTTAAACAAATAGTAGTAGTAGTATAATTATAAATCTTAAAATGAATAGTAACAAAATGGCTAATTTATATCCTAACAAAAAGTTTCCTGCTTTACATATTCTTTAGTTAAAAAAATAAGACGAGTATGTTGTTAAAAGATGATTAATGTATGATATGAAACAAAACATATTTAATTTTAAATCAAGAGTATATGTATATGTTATGTTACATACTTGGTTATCAATGTAAAAGTCACATGTCGAATACCTAATCTTTAGAGATAACTCAAAGAGCTACAAAACTACGTAAATTATTACAAAAAAGCTCATTAACACAATATAAATAAAATATGTTTTATTTATTAAAATACTTGTGAGTACAGGGTCTTGGACTAAAATAAGAAATAAAATAAATACAAAAGTACATAGTTTGAGAAAGAGAATGGAAAATCAGCCATTATTAAAAAAAAAAACAAATATAAAGATCAAAAATTGTTATGTATAATAAACTTACAAAATTAACTACAATTGTTTTATAAAATGTTAAAAATTTATCTCACCTTAAATTCAGTTTCTGTTCTTATTCCGAGCATGACTAGTAATTTCCTTACAAGCCAGTTAAGACTTCTTACTACTGCAAATGTCGACCAGAATTGGGCAAACAATGACCTGAGACGACCAAAGTTTTCTGCCACACCTAAAATATATAGTACTAAAATTATTTAATAAACCTAAATTTTTTTGAACACTAAAATATGCAATTATTATTATTAAACAATCTTTCCAAAGGGAGTATTAAACTATAAGATCTATAATTCTATATGCTGTAATATATGCTCTTGTCTTTGTTATTCTGATATTGTTTTTGTCATTCTGATTTTAATGTGCAAAATAGAATTTTTTTAAACACTTGTTACATGTCTCAAAAATGATATTCTATTTAGAATGTTTATAGTCACAGAAAGGTGATAAGAACTATAACCATTTCAACTACTACATCCACATCACAGTTACTGCAGCTATGGCTCCACCCAATTTCTTTGAGACACACTTTATTTACATAAAAATATGTTTCATTAACCAAGCCAAAGTGCATTTATCAAGTATAGTAAATTATTATATTGCAGAAAATTATTAATTTTTATAGAAAGTTCGCCATCTTTCCAAGGATCGAATTTCGAAAAATCTTTTCTTAGTTGTTATCTATGTCATAATACAACTAGTCTTTTGTAAATAAAAAAAAGCCTTACCTAGAATAGCTCTAAATGAGCTAGTCAATGCAAAGAATGTGTTCTCTAACATCATGGCAACACTACCCACAGCATTGACTACACTTTGGATTGAATCAAAGGTAGGCCTTGAATTTTCTTCTGCCATTTGAATAAATCTAAAATGATTGATATAATATCAATTTTATAGAAAACTATTTTTAATCATTTCTATGGAAATAAATTGCTCCTGGAATTCATTATTTAACATAAAATACAATGTTTACAACAATTAGTATTTAGAGTTTTGGTCAAACAAAATATGTATAAAATTATTGAAGTACATAAGTATTTATTTCCAATGTTATTATTTTTATTGTTATAAGTGTAATATGGGAAACCATAAGGATATGCTTTAATCAATATGATTTTCCTCAAGTGTATAGTATTAAATGAAACACAATTTTACCTGCTCTCTATGTCTCCATGCATTGGGCCATATCTGTTAAACCCCCCATATGGGCTCATACCACCCATACCCATACCCATTCCTCCCATTCCATATCCACCTCCGAGACCACCATATCCATATCCCCCATAGCCCCCCATACCATAAGATCCGCTCATACCTCCATATGAATAACCGGAATTCATGCCATAACTTGGCTGCATATTAAAATCAGGCCGAGGAGGCAAAACAGGGACTCCAATATTTGGTCCAGTTGAAGTGGACGGCATAGGATTGCGAAACGATGGAACATCTCCTGTTGGTAACATAGCCGCATTTGATAACGTGGGGTCAGAGTTTCCAACAAATTTATTAGGTTCACTCATTGTTCTTATGTATACTTTAAAGATTACAATCGAGCAATCTTAATGTATAACAATTTTAGTAAATAATTAAACACACTATAATCACTTTGATGGCAGATTACAATAGGTACTAGGTACCATAAATTTGTAATTAATTAGGAAATTAAATCCAATGCAGCGCAGGGCACAGATCTCGGAACACTGTTATAACTATTTTCATTAATATTTAATATTGCGTATTGAATACCCATTGGCTATTCAGTGTATTTTGAAACATGGCAAAAAAATAATAAAAATGGCAATTTTCAATCTTCATGACGTAGGTATCATAAGTCTATGTCACATAACAGATTTTGACATTTATTTAATTATTGCTAGAAAAAATATTAAGTATTGCCAGATATTTTAAACATTTTAATCAATATTTATACTGAAACGTCTGCGTTGTCAAGTATTATAGAAAATAGATTTCACATTGATTTGTTAAAATTTTAAAAAATTACAATGCCGTATACAATAAATAATGATAAATATAAAATAATGTTTCTTTTCAATGTGATTGAAACAAAGATAAAATTTTCAATGTAGTTTGACCTAATTTCACTAGAGCATCGCTTTGTCTATGTCTTCTGGGTGTCAATCGTGTCAATAGTTTCGATTTTATGTTTGTTGTTATTATCGCAAAATTCGAAAGTATTATATAGAATTTCCTAAATTCTACAAGATATTTTGAAGGGAAGCTTTATTAAGGTACATATTTTAATTTTTTATTATATAATTCGTACTTCTTTATCTAAAACATGTTTTTGTGATTGTTATCCTATTGAGATCATGTTTATCGTATTTATTTGAATAAAAGAGCACAACAATGTCAGTTTGTTAAATTTCTTAACTTAAATACTCTAATAAATTGCGTTCTTCTTGCCAAAATTGTCCGACAAACGGTATAAGATACACATTTTCCGTGACCGGTTTCCTTAGATCGAATCCTACTTCTATGTAGGTGACGCACAGTAAATTCTTCATAAGTAAGCAAAATATTCACACTGATATTCTAATATCGGACAATAGATCATTATCTGAATCTACTATTCAGCGAATTGCATTTTGCATATCATATTACAGGCTCTTTGTAAACACAGTTTACTACTAATAATAATTTATTAATTTAAATTAATATACATTCTTTGTTTTTATTGTTGTAGATTAATTTTTCATACTAATTTTACTTTTTTATACCAAAAATTATATATATATCTTCATAAATATAAATGTAATATTGGAAAATCCTAATATTATCTTTATTAGGATTTGCCCACTTTTATCTATATGTATAAAGTTTATTGAGCTATCTTGTGTACCTGACTTTGTTTTAGGTCCAAGTAAAAGAAGGCTTATGTTTTAGATTAAACTGTAAACAATTAAAAAATGTGTAAAAAATATATATATTATTGTGAATAGCATTCGATTTAAAAGTGAAAAATCACTTGTTTCAAATGTTTTGATTAGTGTGACAAAGGAAAAGTATATATTAAACAAATGTAACCAAGGCTAAATCAGTTAACAGTTTATAACATCCAATTATTACTCTGATTCATAAGTGTAAATACTAGTTGTCACATATATAACATAATAATGTAGGTGCTTATTTTAGTCCATTATAAAATTGTAATTTTTTATTATATGGCAATGTTCTAAGCAATGCTTAATTTAAATGAAACATTTTCTTAATTTGCTATTGACCCAAAAACACAATGAATTAATAAAGGTTCTAGGTAAAATTATGTAAATTTTGTAGGTAATCTTTTAAAATTAAGAGAAGAAAAATATCTTTTATATTAATACTGTGTGTTACTTCTACATCCGATTAACAGAAAGTTTAAAATTTGCACTTATTTCTTTATACTTATTACTTGTTAATTAAAGATACATCAATATAGTACATAATATTGAAAATTGCATATTGTATTATTTAATATATGATATAATGTATGATATACGAAAATGGATAAAAGTGTATAACTTATGTTCTAAGTATATTATTATTTATTAGTAAATTTTTATTTTCTTATAAACCTAGTAATTATTTTTCATAATAAAAAAAATACAATATGATAATTGAAAGAGTATTTTTATCTCTAAAAATATAACTATTTACAACTATTATCTTACACTAAATCTTTTATCTATATTATTATATGATAATATCGCTAACAGTGCACTATAATTTTCCATCATCCATCTAATGCAAACTCTATGTAATTTAAGATTTAGCAAAGTTATTTCCAAATTAAATATTTATTATTCTTGACGTGATTTTTTGTGTGGAGATAGTTGGAGGGCTGGAGAGTGACTTACTTAAGTTTTTACCGCGAGACATAATCTCATCCCACGGGTATATATGTTATAATACAACTCAAAAAAATATTTATGACCAGAATAACTTGAAACTTTGTATCAAAGCTCTTTAATACGATTAAATAAATACATATTTAAGCATTTTTTGAAATTCATCCCTCATGGGGTAAAATAGAAGATGAAAGTTTGTATGAAACCTACATTTACATTTTAGAGTATTTTTTATAGTTTTAGCGCGAGTAAAGCCGCGGTTTCTGCCAGTATTCCATATTTACGTATTTTCAGTGATATCTCAGTAATGTCAATATATTGTCATTCAAAGAGCTTTAAACCTTAAAAAATCAACTACATTTAAATGGAATGTTTTATGTAAGATATTTTGCGTAAGCCATTAAATTTAAAAGATCCATGTAGGGTTAATTTAAAAACCTTAAGACCTTCGCATACACATAATTAAATTCTAAGCAAACCATTAAATATGATATGCTTATATGTACCTAAACAACTTGTATACTGCAAACAGTGTAGAATAGGCTTCATTTTCTCGGCTCAGGAAGCGGCGCCACTGTCGTTCGTCGCTTCCGTTTATATCTATTGTTGTTGCCATTTTACTTTGAAATATTTTGTTACGCACTGATTTCATGTTATATTTATTTAAACTAAAAAGAGTGGCATTTTTAGCAGTTTTTGATGCATTTTTCCAAAGGTATACGATTTTCTTGTTATACAATAATGTCTTGTTCGGTGTTCCATTATTTTTGGTTTCTATTCAAATCACTTGTTACAATTCGATGTATCAGGGCATATGGGCATTTGACAAAATTAAAAGTGAATACAAAGGCGGTTCCATTTACCATTTAAAAAGCAAATTAAATTTGATAGCTTTAACTAATATTTAAACAAAATAGTATTATTTACTACTATTTAAATAGAATTAATAAAAAAACTGTTGATTATGCAATAGCAATCAAAATAATATAATATACAGAAACTGGAATAATAATTATGTCGCTCGTAGGAGATGATATGGTATCGCTATCCAACGGAAACTCTTTGTTTTTCTCTCAATATTCTAAATGTCAGTGACCCACGCTTAGGAATAGCTTTGCATACTACATACTATAAAAGTAGCGATTCACCCTCGCTTCGCTCGGATTCGTCCCTACTTACGTTTTAACGTTTAGTATCGATTTCTCAGAGATGAGATATTTTCTCGCTGTAAAAAGTACCATATATTTTGACCCGGTTAACCAGCTATCATCATACCAAATTTCATCAAAATCCCTCCAGTGAGTTTTGCGTGATGCGGTAACAGATAGGCAGACAGACAAAAATTCTAAGAACTATAGATTCGGCCTCTGTATCGATAATAATGTCTATTTCAATAAGATTTTCTAAAAAATATTTAATGTACAGATTCGGCTTACTTACAATTTTTATTATATGTATAGATAAAATCCCCCCCGACGCGTCGGTATGGCTATCTGTCTGAACGTGATAAACTCAAAAACTAGCAAACAGATTTTTATACGGTTTGACTAATAGACTGAGTGATTCACGAGGAAGGTTTAGGTGTATAATTCATAAAAGTTTGTGTAAATTGGCTGAAATATGACGATGATTGTTGACGATGTCGGAAAAAATCATGTCGACGGGGACTTTTATCGATGAGCGTCGCGGAAACCAATAAAGTTATATGAAAACAATGTATTACGGAAATATTCCTCTTAAAAAGATCTATTAGGTAAACGTAGCAACGCTATATGTATTATGTAACGTAACTAGGGACGTACCCAGGCGAAGGCAGTGTAAGTCACTTGTTAATTTAAAAAATAGCTGTTCTAGAATACAAGATATTCAATATACCTACATATTAGTGATATCCCCTATCTCGTGATAAACTTTAGTTTTCCGTAATATATACATACAAACAGTATAGTTACATGGATCGTTTCATGATAATGCAAGCTATCGCTGTGCTAAATTTTATCGACATTAGTATAACCAAAAGGACAAACGAACAGATAGAGAGAAGAAATCTACATTCGCATTTACAGTAGATGATATATCAATACAGTATACAATATATCTACTATTACAAATGTATATAGTAGTAATTCCCAAAGTGGTTCAGGTGGACCCCCAGGGGTCCACGGGAGACTCCACAGGGTTACGTTAGCGTGAAAAAAGTCAGCGTTCACAAGTTGTAAGTGGGGGTACACGAAAATTTACCTGGTTTCGATAATAAAGAATAAAAATGTAAGCTTGACTTTACCTATGAATGTAGGCAGATAATATACTACTCAAAATAATTAGTAAATGGTTGACCCTGCAGGCCCTGAAACTTCCGGCTACTTTCTGTTCGAAAATGGTCTACTGACTTGAAGTTTTAAGAATCTAATTTTAAGATTTTTTTGTCAATTTTTTTTAAGAAGTTACAAAAATTAATATTGCAAATTTTTTTTATTACATTTTTTTAATTGTTGATTTGAATTGTTGAACTTTATTAATGTTTAGTTTTAAATCTATTAAGTCTGTAATAATATAATTATAATAAATAGAACACAAGAGTGAAGTTAAATACATTCGTGCGAAGGATTATATTAAATATAAAATTTTATATGAAACATTTGTTGCTGTACACTCCTTTGAACATTTTGCAT